AAAGAGTGATCACTTGAAGAATTTCTCTCCCTCCCTTCCCCCCCCCCCCCTCTTTAGTCTGATCTGTAGACAAATGCTTTCTCCTGGTAAAAACTGGCAAGAACAACACAGTATCATGGCAGTTAAATAATCTTACCTATTATGACTAAAATTGTCAGAAATTGTATAGGGAGGAAAAATCTGCCAACTACAATTTTTACTTGTTGCAATGAAAAATAATCTCATTAGTGCAATTCTTTAGTACATTTACAATTGATATAAAGATATGTTAGGATAACAACTTTAAAATTCCCAGAGAACAGTATTCTCCAAGAGGAGGAAAACAGCAAGCAGGTTTTTAATAAGAGAAACAGAAGCTGTTCTAAAGAGGGTGGGAACCTTATTTTATGTATTTATTTGTAAAATTTATTAGTGAGCCATCTTATCCCAAGAAACTCTGGGTTGCTTATGGGATAATTAATTATTAATCTAAATCATTTAATTATTGTGGATATATACTAAATTGGGGCCTAGATATAAACTATAATCAGTGAATGTTTTGCCATATTGATTACCATACTTTTCGGACTATAAGGCACACTTTTTCCCCCCTAAAAAAGGATGGAAATGTTGGTGCATCTTATACACCAAATACATCCATTTTTGGCCTCCCGAAGCTCCGCCCTGGATATCCGGGTTTTGTGAAACTCTGGCCCGTTTTTCACAAAAACAGGACACACAGAGGCTTTGGGAGGCCTGCAGAGTGCTCCTGAGGGCTGGGGAGGGCAAAAATGGGGCGCGCAGAGGCTTTGGGAGGCCTGCAGAGTGCTCCTGGGGGCCGGGGAGGAAAAAAACTTTTTTTTCTTGCTTACCTCTTTGAAATCTTGGTGCGTTTTATAATCTGAAAAATACAGTACATTATTACTACAGTGATAATAAAGTTAGTGACCCAATCCGGAATAAGAGATTTTCTCCTTTTAGCTTCATTTCAATGTTGTCTACACAAATTATAGCTTGCCTTGGCATCTAAATAGACATTTTTTTTGCTTGCATTTGATCTTTGAAACTTAACCACTTCAAAGCATTGTGATTTGATGTGCAAGTGCACAAACTATGACTTATGAATTCAGCCAAGATGGCAGAACATTAGAGAAGGACTTGGCTATGCTCATTGACAGCAAGCTGAAAAAGAGGCAGCAGTGTAACACATCTGCTAATACAGTTCTGCGGTGCATCAGAACACCCCTCTGTTCATATAGAATACTGTAAATGATTCTGGGCACCACATTTCCAAACAGATATTGTTAGATTAAAATAGGTTTAGAAGAAGGCAAAATTTAATTCAGAAATTTGAGAATAAACCCTATTGTGGGTTTGAAGGAACTTGGGATGTTTCATCTAGAGAAAAGAAGATTAAGGAGAGACATGGTATTTGTATACATTAATATAAAAGGGACTCACAGAGAAGATAGTGAGAAACTATTTTCCATTGCCATATAAACTAATACCAGAAATATTGCTTATAAGTTGCAGCTATAAAGTTTTAAATACAAGGAAAAAGTTACCGTTAATAAGATCTGAACAGCAGTGGAAAAGTCTACCTGTGGTAGTTGTAGATTCTCCACTTCTGGATTTATTTATTTTTTTAAAGTGCCTGAAAAGCCATCTCTCACATATAATTTAGTCCCCTCCCGAAATTGCAGAAGGTTGAACTGGTTGATCTTTGGGTCTATTCCAACTTTCAATTCTTTCATTTTAAAATTCTGTGCCCCTGCATTCTTACTCTTTTTTCAACATTCTTACAGTATTGGTTATTGGTTATTGGTTATTTTTTCTTCAGTACTAGTTTGTATAGCATTTATTTTTGCTTCATTATTTTATCATATAACTATAAAATAAATATAAATTCTTATACAAATTTCCAGCTACTTTCTCCAACATTCCCTCATATCAGTTTCATCCCAGATCATGTCTTTTTTTATCCCTCTTCTCTCATTTCTGAAACAATTTCATATTTCCATTAAAATAATTCTGTGTTTCATTTGTCTTTTAATCTTAACTGTTCCTTTGATTACATTCTTTTCAATTATGCAGCAGCCATTCTTGTTATATGCACAGCCTCTTCCATTTCATGCTTCTTTCAAGGAGCTTTCTAATTTTTTCCATTTAACTTGAGATATTCCCTTACTATAAGCAAGAACTCATGAAACAGATCACCATCCTCATTTGTTGTAGGCTCCACAAATGGCCCAGTCACTTCTTTGCTTTCTTGTCTTTATCCATTCATGTCCCATCACAGAATCATTATTTCCTTTGGGTTACAATTGTTCAGAACTTTCCCTCACTCATTTCAGCTTCTCCCATCAAGACCTTTCACTGAAGTATAATATGCAGCTACTACCAATCTATTAAATCTATTTTCACATATGCCATAACATCCTAAATAACAATTCCTACTTCCTGACCTATATTAAAGCTCTGTAATTCATTATTACACTATAGGTAGTCCTCAAGTTATAAACCACAATTGAACCCAAAATTTATGTTGCTAAAAAAAGTAAAACATTTGTTAAGTGAGTTTTGCCCCATTTTACAATTTTTCCTGCCACAATCATTAAGTGAATTATTGCATTTGTTAAGTTAGTAACATGGTTGTTAAGTGAATGTGGATTTCCCATTGACTTTGCTTGTCAGAAGGTCTCAAAAGCTGATCACGTGACCCCAGGTCACTGGAACTGTCATAAATAGGATCTGAAATTTGATCATGTGACCATGGGGATGCTGCAATGGCTGTAAGTGTAAAAAATGGTCATAAGTCACTTTTTTCAGTGCCTCTGAACAGTTATTAAATGAACTGTTGTAAGTCGAGGACTACCTGTATAGATTTACTTCCCTGCGGGTACTAATCAACTACACATCATAAGATCAAATTGGCTTTGTTGATATTAGTTATAATCTTCCTCCTTCTCTTAGTTCCCCAGACACATAAGTATTTTTCATTCCATTTCTTAATTCATGCTCTGTCATTACTCCTTATCTTTTAATTTACACTGTTTTATACAGCACAGTTGGGATTAGATCAACCATAGACATTAGTCTCCTTCACTCTTTATGATTGGCTCAATGAAGGTTTTCCCATAATGCTTTTTTGTAAGATGGAGTTGATTGCCAGTTTTAGTTGAAGCTGTACCATGTGTAGTTTTCCCTGCTTAACAATAAGAATGGGAATGGTCAGTCTGGGCACACATTGGCCAAAATGTCACTTGTGCAATCAAAACCCAGCATGCTCGTAGTTTCATGCTAGGTAAATTTTAACAATAGCAAGTTTTATCATAAACTACCGTATTTCCCCAAAAATAAGACCCTGTCTTATATTTTTTTTGAACCCTAAAATAAGCGCTTGGCCTTATTGCCATGCGCTCAAAAGCCTGATTGGGCTTATTATCAGGGGATGTCTTATTTTTGGGGAAACAGGGTAGGCTATCAGAGTTTATTGTTTGGTGGAGGGTTTCAGTTAAAAATCCACATCAGGAGTAAAGGATAATTTTAGTATTTTAATTACTAGACCCTTCAAATCTAGAATTAATCTAATTCTAATCTAATCTAATCTTAGCATCACTCTTAGTTGACATTTTGTTGCAACTTTTTTTGGCAAAAGAACCCTATTTCATAATTTATTTTTATGCTACTTCTATAATTTATGCTAGTTCTTATCTTTGATAAAACATGTAAAACAGAAAATACTCAAGCAAGATTAGAAAAATCATCAGAGACAACTTCTGGAAATAAAAAGTGATTCTTCCTTCTTCTCACCTTGCATCATGTCTGACTTACTCAGTAGGTTCTCTGATCTTCCAGGGAGTCTGTTTGAGAGGATTGGGAGGTTGCCAAGGGCAGGACAGGGAGCCAAGTTCTACCAATTACTTTATATAAGGTTTTCTATAGGAAATAAATCCAGTTGATTTTAGTTAAATTTACTCCTAAATAAATGCAAAGTTGTATATTATTTTTGTAGTGTTAAATCTAATTGTGTGCAGAACTGCATAATTAATTTATTATCAAACACAGTCCTCGCTTAACCACAACTGGGACTGGAATCATTGTGAAATGTGACTATTTGCATGACTGCTTTGTTCAATTACTGCACTCCAGGCTGTGGTCTTTAAGTGATTGCATGGTTCATTAAGCAGACTGTATGCCTCTGGCAGAGGGAGACTCTAGGACGCTCAGGAGCTGAAAATCTTACCCACTGAAATCCTGAGGGAGAGACACTCATGTGCAACCTGTGCCAAGTCCGTCCGTCCCCCCTCCCAGTCACCCGTGTTCTTTATGTAACTGTGCTGCCTCACTTCTCGAGCTGAAACAATTGCTTGGATTTTGTCTTCCTCTCATCTCTATGGATTGGTTGAAAAATTTGTCTTCCTCTCATCTCTATGGATTGGTTGAAAAAACTGCCTCTCAAAGGACTTCAGCTCTTTTCCATCACAGAAGGGAATTCCTTCCATGAGGTGCAGAAACTAAACTTAAATCATTCAAAAGGATATCAGTTCCCCTCCACGTGTAAAAAGGAATGTTTTCGGTGGGATGCAGGAATGGAGTCTGATCTTTAGGAATTTGGTTTCTTCACCCCACTGAATGAGTTCAGCTTCCCTCAGCCAGCCTCCATAGACGAAAGAGAGTCCTCTAGACAAGTGGTAGAGAAGATTGTAAATGGCAATCATATGATTGCAGGGCGCTTACCATCTTAAGTGTGAAGGTTGCTAAGCACTCAGATCGCACTCATGTGACTTGGGGAGAAAGATGGTGCAACCTTTTACCATGGCCTATAAAGCATCGTTTCCTAGACCAACATAAGTTTGAACTTCATTAAACAATCAATCATAAATTCAAGACTATTTCTATGTAAATGAAGATGTTCTAATATAACATAAAATAATAACTAATAAATATCTGTTTATTGTTTTTATAATAAATATTTTTTATTTGTTACATGTGAATGATGATGATCATGATAATTACAGATAACTAAATGACCATGGAATCTGGTGCAGAGAACCAACAGAGTGGAGATGCAGCTGTTACAGAGGCAGAAAATCAACAGATGACTGTTCAGGCACAACCACAAATTGCAACATTGGCCCAGGTACAGATTTGTACAGACTGATTTATTTTCCAGCTGTGGGATCTGCAACATTTTGGGTTTGATGAACAAATTGGAAATTTTGAGATATTTTTGTGGCATTTTCAAAGGAGACCATTTACAAAATTACTGCCATAGTGAAATGACACATTTTAAAGCACTGAAGTAATTTTAAATACATTATATATATCTTTTTTAGAATAAGTGGAAAATAGTATCATCTGTTCAAGATTTTTTTAAAAAAATATTTTAAACAATTTACAGTAATAAGTCAATTGTAGAACTTAAAACTCTTAAAATAATAAAGTCCCTTTTTAGATCTTTTGGGGAAAGAATTAAGGATATTTTAAGCTTAAAATGTCCAACATAAAATGTCCTGCATAAATCTGAGAATGTTTTAACTTGTAATGTTTTATGCATCTGTGTGAAGCATGAATGTACCAAAATACAATCTGCCAATCTATGTAGTCCCTACATAGTTCTATTCTTTTCCAGCTATGTAGGCATATTTCAGATTAAAGCTGTCACCGTTTTATTTGATGCTAAGAGGTAGTTTTGGAAATAAAAATAAGCAATGAGGCTAGCAATTTGCTTTACAGAATACCTGCATTTTTTAAAAAAAAGTCAGGTACAATAAGAAATCTGCTAGTTGCCCTGTAGTGTTTAATGCCACACTGTAGATTCAAGAAATAGCCTTGGCAGCAGCTATTAAGTTAATTTTGTGGTCAAATGATTGTCCAATTAAATTTTGTGGCAAACCTCCCATTCAGAGTAAAAAGCAAAAAAAAACCAACTTATTTTTTTAAATATTTAGAATTGTAATACTGTATTTTATTTTAAACAATTAAAGGCTTTTAAAATCCTATTAATTGCAGTAAGTCAAACACAGCCTTTCAATATACTGTGAGTAGACAAAAAATAATTGTTCTCTTAATAGTTGTATCAACCAGAACAATATTTACGTATATAAATTTGCCAATATAAATAATGTAAGCGGTAACAGATTGGACTAGCAAGGAATAGAAGGAAAATTTAGAGTGGGAAAATGCAGAGAGTATTATATACAGCTGCTAGACTTACTATACCTTCTGTTAGAGAAATAATCTGATTCCAATAACCATTACTACCGTGTTTCCCCGAAAAAAAGACACGGTCTTTTCCCCCCTCCAGAAGAGGCATTAGGTCTTATTTTCGGGGATGTCTTCCACTCTCACCTCGTGACAATGGCGCTAACAGCCCCGCCCAGCAGGAGCCGCTGCTGGCCCACTTCTGTGGCCTCTTACTGCTGCTCGCGCGCAGCGCCCCCCAGCCTCCATTTTGCCATCAGAGGCCTTCAGGAAATGCAGCTGAGAAACGAGCTCCGGATTGATGTGCACAGCACCCCCCCGGCCTCTGATTTGCCCGTGAAACAGAGACTGGGAGGTGCCCTGCACATCAATCTGGAACTCGTTTCTTGACTGCAGAGCTTTCCCTGAAGGTCTCTGACAGTGAAACGGAAGCTAGGGGGCGCTGCGCGCATCAATCCGGAGCTCATTTCTCGGCTGCAGAGGCCTTTCCTGAAGGCTTCTGACGGTGAAACAGAGGCGGGGGGGGTGACACACACAAGCAGCAGCAAGCGGCCACAGAAGAAGTGGGCTGGCAAGGTGAGGTAGGTGTCGGGGTGTGGGAGGCCTGGCTGCAAATTTCCAAAGGTAAGTGGGTGCAGGGCACATGGGGCAGCTCCACCCCCCATCCCCACCCTAGCTTGATTTTTACCTGTGCAACTTGCCCCACCACGTGCAGCCAGGGGCAACAGAGTGGGCAGGGCCTTAACTAGGGTTTATTTTGGATGCATGAGTAAAAAAATCAAGCTAGGGCTTATTTTCGGGATAGGTCTTTTTATTTTCATGGAAAGATGGTAGTATTCGTTTTCATAGCACTTTATATGATCATCCTTTTTTTCTTCCCACTGAGTATGGTTAGCAAATGGTTCAAATGTAAGAATAGCAAATTGTTCAAAAGTACATTGCACAATCTAATAGTGAAGACTTACATGCAAAATATAGTGGATTTTTAGGGATTTGAAAGTAAAATATTCACTGGTTGCAATTAGTTTGAAAAATTAGTACAATGTCTGCACAAAGCAAGAGTATATTCACCTCCTTAGATGTTTCTTTCTGAGGAATAACTAAAATGATGACTTCTGATTCATCATGAACAATATGCACATTCACAATTCTTGCAGGACTCTGTAGCATGTCACAAATAGGTAGTAATTTTTTGCATATAGTAAGTTTCATAATTTTGTAGTTCTAGCTACATAAAGTTAATGATATTAATTACAGCTAAGGAAAGCCAATATAACTGATTGTAGGTACATATTTCCAGATTTCTTGCAAAAGCTTATCATTGCTAATTTTATCCAGGTCGTTCAAATATTGCATCCAAATATCTCTGCTTAACAAAATCTGGCTGTATAACTAGAATAGAATTTTAATTTAGAAACTTTGCTGACTCCCAGTGATACATTCAGTGTCTCAGGGAATGGCTAAGTGCACACAAGCATTTACATGTCTACAAAAACCTTTGTATATAGACAAATTCTCTCAGTGTAGGAAATGTTATTCCTGATCTGGAGATAAATCAAGACTACTAAGGAGAGGAAACATAGCTGTCTCCCTTCTTCCCCAGTGATATCATTGCAGCTGATTTTAACAATGGAGAATTTTGAATTTAGCCAGGTACTGTTGGTAGAAGCAAGGGTTGATCCAAGACAGGTAGCTGGTGAGATCTGGGAACCTGTGACAAGCCACACAAGAGCCATTTAGGAGTTGCAAATGGTCTGCCGACTGGGGGGTCTCCTATCCTTACTCTGACATTAAATGTTTTTAAAATAATGTGTCACACTCTTTCATTAGGTATCCATGCCTGCAGCTCATGCAACATCTTCTGCTCCCACTGTGACCTTAGTGCAATTGCCTAATGGACAGACAGTTCAAGTCCATGGTGTTATTCAAGCTGCACAGCCATCAGTTATTCAGTCTCCACAAGTCCAGACAGTTCAGGTAAATTTTAAATTACTGTATATTGAGCTACATTAGGTCATATATACCTATGTTGTACAAATTTAATTTTATGAACGTGAGTTCTAAACAACGCCCTATGGTACGCCTCTATTATTATTCCACAGATAATCCATACCGCTTAAGTTTAATTATTATTTTGTCTTAAATTTGAATTGTGACTTCCCTAGTATAAGAATATATACTGTACACACTGGTAAGGGTAAAAAGTTACTTTAGAATGTGCTCAGATGGGACTTGAAAGCTTCATTGCTAAAATGGTTTCTCTCTGTCAAAGTTTATCTTGGTAAAGTTTTCTTTCTGATTCAGGTTTAAACAACTAAGAACAAGGTTGTGTCCCATCTTCATTTTATACACAAAACGTTCACTGGAAGAAATAACAGGTTGAAAATATTTATGATAGAATATGAAGTCCATCAAAAGAAAGTTGTACAGATAGTCCTTGAGTTACGAATGTAATGTAACCTGCCCATTCCATTTGTAACCTGAGGATTCGTGGGAGTGTATCTCATACTTTGAACACAATCACTCCCTCCTTTCACCCCCGCATTTGCTAATCAAATGCAAGGCTCGTTAAGTGCACATGAGGTATTTTGGGGTGGGGAAGGCAATGGGTGGGGGCTAGTAATAAAACAGCCTACCTTCTTCAGACCACCCAAGGCCTCCCCTGACCCACTGAAATACCTCATGCTCCCTGCAATTGCTTCTCCACCCCCCAGCCCCCACCCCATCCTGCCATGTCACCTTGTGAAAGTCTCTTTCCAGCATGTATGTTTCTTTGCCTGCGAGTGGCGAGAGCAGGTTGCGCATGCCCTGCTTGGCTTCTCTGATCACCGAGCCTGCTTCAGGAGTGGCAGGCAGCTTCAGTGAGTCTCCTCCAAAGACTTCCAGGTTCCGTGCGTAAAAATGTTTGCACAAAGTTAGGCTTTGGGGCAGTGAACTTCTGTTGCTCCAAGCCCCTCATTAGCATGCAACCGCTTTTCCCACGGAGACTGGAACTTCCCGTGGGATGTCTGGCACCCATTCTCTGCAAAGGCAGATGAGTGCCTGAACTCGCACAAGACTATGCACCCCAGAAGTTTCCAGTCTTCGTCTGGGTGAAAAGTGTTTGAGCGACACTAGGAGGATTGGAAATGGAGCGAAAAACTGCGTTTTCAGGCAGTTCGTTGCGTTTCCAAACCCCCCCACCCCCCCGGCCGCTCAAACACTTATCACCTTGACAGAGACTGCACTTTGTCTATATGTAAATTTCAGAAACTTCAGAAACTTTCATTAATTTAAGTAAAGGTAAAGGTTCCCCTCGCACATACGTGCTAGTCGTTCACGACTTTAGGAGGCGGTGCTCATCTCCGTTTCAAAGCGGAAGAGCCAATGCTATCCGAAGACGTCTCCATGGTCATGTGGCCAGCATGACTGAACATCAAAGGCGCACGGAACGCTGTTACCTTCCCACCAAAGGTGGTCCCTATTTTTCTACTTGAATTTTTTACATGCTTTCAAACTGCTAGGTTGGCAGAAGCTGGGACAAGTAACGGGAGCTCACTCCGTTACGCGGCACTAGGGATTCAACCGCTGAACTGCCAACCTTTCGATCGACAAGCTCAGCATCTTAGCCACTGAGTCACTGCAACTCTTTTTTTAAATAAATGATACCCTGCTTAATATGCAATCTCTGTTTTCCTAATCCTGCAAACATTCATACATAAAAGATGATTTTATGATTTTCAAATAGTACCTTGTTAATAATGTTTAAAATCATAAAATTACTATGCTCTTATATCTAGATCTCCACTATTGCAGAAAGTGAAGATTCACAGGAATCTGTGGACAGTGTCACCGACTCCCAGAAACGAAGGGAAATTCTTTCTAGGCGACCTTCCTACAGGTATGAATGTAATATTGTAATGCCTGCATTCAGTAGGTCAACATATGAAAAATTTGCTGCATGTTCCAGTCTATTATTAGAATGTAGTAGCAGGCAAATCTGGAGTATGTATCATGACTGGGCAGCATGGGCTATAATTGGACTGTAAGATCTACCATTCAGTTCTGTCTTACACAGCATGTATATGCTGCTAGGTCTCATATGAGGAAAATACTATGGTAGGATGATTGGTTACTTTAATCAGTCCTTTGCAAGCAAAGTGGGAAAACATAAATTTGTAACATTTATATTTAAAGGCATAGATTCATTCTTCTGTTTATTAATATGTATGATGCTTTCTTTAGAGTAGTCTCCCATTTGGAGAAGTAATGATTAGAAATCTTGTTTGTGCATGAAACAATCAGTCAGATTAATTGTAAAGTGTTAACACTGTTATTTGCTGTATTATTTCAAGCACACTATTTGTAAGTGAAAGTTTCACAAAAGTTTTTATTGAGAACCAGTGATCACCAAAGAATCAGATTACTGAAGCCAGTTTTGTCCAGTTGTGTAAGAAATATTATTTATTTTAATTGATAAATACCCAGAAGAGATACTAAATGCCCTTTCTCAGTTTACATCAGATTTTCCTTATGCTTTTTTAGAATGCAGGCATACTAAAATCAGATAAGTTGTTTTTCATTTTATTGTAATAAAATTCAGTCAAAGACTTTAATTGCTGTGAAATGAGTGGAATGGAAAATTTATAGAAGGGAGCCAAGTGTGTTGATTCTCCATTGAGTTCCTGGAATGTTTAAATTTTCACAAGTAACAGGAAGTAAGTGTTAGAGCTGAGGAAGTTTAGGATTCAGTCTAAGCTTGTGTTCTGACAGCAAATCCTTGATAGTGACAGTTTCCCCACAACCACCGCACTTGCAAATTTTTATCAATAGCTGGAAAATGCTATTCAGTTTCCAAATTCTATTCTTTAGACAACATAAAATGCCCTCAACTTTTTAACTCTCTTAATTACTTGCTTGCAGCTCTGATTAATCTTACTTGTCTTTATGTTTACCACTCTCATATTTTAACCGCTTTCACTGGAAATATTGTAGCTCCATAGCGATTTTAACTTTGGTATTATAGTTTCATAGTTTATTCCCTTCAGTTTTTACTTTCTAACCTGCTTACTTAAAGTCATATTCTTAGTTCTTATTACAAGTTCAGTAAGTATTTCTCTAATCATGAAATCTTATGACTTGACAATATATATAATTATGGTTCATTGCACAGTCAGCAAGATGTTCAGAGTGGATATGGCATTTTTATCACCTATTCAGTCCTTTCCAAGGGCCTGGGATAGGCAGATGTTTATGTTTATGGTGAGTGCTCGAGGTATTGTCGCAGGCTGGAAGCTTTTTTTGAGTAAAGCCGCCTTTTGCAATTGACTGGTGGTGAATCAATACGGATGGTGTTCAAGTGGTGCTCGTTATTGGGATTGCACCCCAAGGACCTATTACTGATGGTATTACTTTTCTTTTCTTTTCTTTTGCCACAGTCATTCTATTTTTATTTGCAGGTCTTTGTATTTTGTTATTTCTCCATTTCCTTCTCTTCTATTTCACTGTCTCCAGATCACTGCCACATCCACTATCCAGACTTTTTGTCTTTCTTATCGACAGTTATTAAATCTGGGGTGTTATGTGGCAGACACCTGTCTGTTTGAATTCTAAAATTCCAAAGCATTTTAGCTTCTTCGTTGTCTATTACTTTCTGTATTTTATGTTCCACCAGTTCTTATTTTTACACAACTGGTAATTTTTGCAAAACTTCCAATCCAGTGTTGTTGCTACTTTGTAATGCCATTGTTTGTAGTCTATGAGATCTTGCTGTAGGTAACGAGGTGGTCCACTGTTTCTTCAGTCTCTTTGCAGAAGAAACACTTGCTGTCTGTTATTGTTTTCCCAGCAATAGACAGCAAGTGTTCTACTTTTATGTGCATTTGTCCTTAAGGTTTGGTCTTGTGCAGCCAGAATTAGGCTCTCTGTCCCTTTCTTCAACTTTCCTGTTCTGGAGAAACTGGAAGTGTCGCAGTGAGACTGGCTGGAAATTAGTGGGCTCCAATGAGCCCAGCAAAAATCCAGCCAGACAAACTGTTGTTTGGGGGGGGGGGGTCTTCGGACCGGAACTGTCTTGTAGGGATGGTGAAGAAGGAGAGGTGCCTCGGACGACCAAGAGGAACAGGCAAGTTCCTCATAAGGTCAGAGGCAGTTCTTCAATCAGGCGGCGGGGGCAGCAGCCGTTAAAAACAGCCACTTTGAAGCTGGGGCAACTGGAATAAGATTTTGTGCAGGAACGGTGTTTGGACGGAGTACTGGTACCGGGTGAGTGATTGGCCAACTCACAGGTAAAAAAGGAATTTAAAAAAAAAAAAAAACTCTAAAAGATCCTGGTGAGGAAACGAGCGGCTAATTGGCACTTGCGAATTTTAATGGAGGGAGAAGAACAAAATTTTAGACAAAAACTTGTCTTAAAAAAAACTTTCCTGTTCTTAGCCATTGCCAGGTCTTGTAATATATTGGCAATGTAATATTTTATCTTCCCATGCCACTTTTCTATTCTTCATTTGGTCCTTCTTATAAGGTATTTTGGTCTCTTCAGTATTCAGTAAGCCTTACTGGTATATTATTGTTGTTGTTGTTATTATTATTATTATTTAATCTTTAGTGAGATTCACAGCCTTTGAGGCTGGTTAATAGCTCAGCAGCTCGAGTCCTAACCAAGGACCTAGGAACTGTTAAGGTATCATCGGAGGATGTAAGCTGTTCTGAGTAAGGTGGTTTTTTGTAGAGTCAAAATGTTCAAGTCCGGCAAATTTAGAATTTCTAAATAGCGGGGTAGCCCTTTGGGTATTGCTCCAAGGGCTCCAATTATTATCATTATTATTATTATTATTATTAGTAGTAGTAGTAGTAGTAGTAGTAGTAGTAGTAGTAGTACCATAGTAGTAGTACTGCTACTATGACTAAAAAGAGACCCTTAAGCACAATATAATACATGGGTGTCAAACTCAAGGCCCAGGGGCTAGAACTGGCCTGCAAGGTGCTTAGATCTGGCCCATGGGGCCGCCCTGGAAACAGCAAAGGACCGGCCTAGGGTGCCTCTGCCAGGAAAATGGAGCTCAGGAGGGCCTCATGCGGCTCTCACGAGCTCCGTTTTCGCTGGCAGAGGGTTGCAGGAGGCCGTTGTAACCAAAAACGGAGCTCAGGAACCCGTTTTCATTGGTAGAGCGCTTGGGCCACCACAGGCGCCACATGATTGACGTCATGCTGACCACGCCCACCCCAGCCCTCCAAGATCAAACACAACCCTGATTTGGCCCTCAATGAAATCGAGTTTGACATTTCTGATCTAGTAGAATCTTAACATATCTATAGTATGATTACTTTTAATATATAATGCAGTGTTCTGGTTATTCTATCTCAGTAATAGACAGTAATTCAGAATTCGGTAATATAGAATTGTGAGAAGTACAGAATAAAAGTATATAAGTACTAGAAAGGTGGGATGAGAGGGGAGAGAAGTACAGTAAAAATTGCTCTGAGTAGTTGATTTGGAAGACAAAGTTTTTAGTTTATCATAGTACATAATATGTTTTTAAATTTCAGGGCTATTCACAACTCAGGGATAAGAGGACAGGTATATTATAGATTATTATCTTTGATTCGGAGGCAGCATATATCTGAATTCTTGCAAGAGCAGAAGTACAATTGCTTTCATGCTAAACTTCCAAGAAATTTATAGTTGACCATGATTAGGTTGGATTCATAATACTCTCAGGTTTCTCTACATGTTACATGTATTGTAAGATTATTATAAACCTGGTAGCTACTGGATTGGTTAAGATTTCTCCAACATTATTTCTTTTTAGGAAAATATTGAATGATTTGTCCTCAGATGCCCCAGGAGTGCCAAGGATTGAAGAAGAAAAATCTGAAGAGGAAGCAACAGCACCTGCTATTACTACTGTCACCGTGCCAACTCCAATTTATCAAACAAGCAGTGGGCAATACAGTACGTGATCTCTGTTTCTTATACAATAGTAGAAAAGGAAAAGTGTATAAAGTCTTAATTAAACATCAAAAATGCATCTAGTATCCAAATTATAATTTCCGCTCTGAAAAATGCTTGGAGCTCGATATTTGTCACTTTTGGATTTTGAAATTGTGTCACATTTGATACAATACATGACAACATACCAAAGGATTATGAGAACCAAAGAGAAATGTTTGTGCAGTCATGCTGTTACTTAACAATATACCCAGTGATTGCTGGCAAAACAAAACATTTGTTATTAAACAAACCAATAGCATACAAATGTGGCACATCAGCAAAGGAGCAGGGCAAATGAAACTTAGTTAAGCATTGTTATACAGGTGTTTTGTTTTTGATTAAAGATATCTTAGAAAATTAACATGCCTGTGCCTTCTAGTCCCATTCTTAACACTATGGATATAGTTCAATCCCATTACTTTCCCAGCAGGTATTTCACTGCCCAGTAGTGGGTTTCTACCAGTTCGCCCGGTTCGGGCAAACTGGTAGGGGCAGCGGCGGAAGGCTCCGCCCAGACGCCCAGATGCCATCATGGATGCTCTGCGCATGCACAGAAGGTTCTGCGCATGCACAGAAGCGCCACGCGCGAGCGAAGCAAGCACACACACACACGCTTACAGTTCTGAACCGGTAGCAAAGGTAAGTGGAACCCACTACTGTCACTGCACACTTCACTGTAAAGGATAAAATAATCTTCACCTATTCATATATGACCTTGGCTTTAAGGACCAATTTACACCATCAGTTGAAGTGAAAAGTTTCCAGGCAGTAAAATATTGCATTTCATTTATATTGAGAATGATTATAATATATAATTGTTTGCTCAAAATAGTTACTGCATGAAAGCATGATTTATGTCCTAGTTTTATCTCATGACAGAAGCATTGCCATGTGAAATCACCATGTTCACTGATCAAAGCTGGGAGGGTGGATGAAGGACATAGAGTTTTATGATTATTATTTGCTCTGGTCCCCAGTGTGGTCCTGATTTTCTTTTAGGGACTGGTGTTGCTGATATCCATCATCAATATGGCAATGCTGTGCATGCAGGTATTGTCTGCATGAATGGATTGGTGTATATGTGGTGGAACTGAGGAACTGATGCTGGTAGCATTGAATGAGGGACCATGTGTGAATGGTATTCTTGTTGCAGTCTGAGTGAGGTGTAGCAGACTGAAGAGCTTCATGAAAGTGGATACAGAAATAAGTACAGAAAAAAAATAAGAACAGTAATTGTATGTGAAGAGCAAAAGAAACTATAACACAGAGGCAACAGAGGAGAGCAACTGATGAAGGATGAAACTGATAAAAAGATGTAAGAAGAACAAAATATATGATAGAGGGGAAACAATAGTTTATTTATTTTATTTATTAATATCCTATCTTTATTTTTTGTACAAATAACTCAAGATGGCAAAAATAACCAACACATCTTCCCCCTCCTATTTTTCTCACAACAGCAATCCTGTGAGAGGGGTTGGGCTGAGAGAGAGTAACTGGACCAAGGTCACCCAAGTGGCTTTCATAGCTAAGATGGGAACTGAAAGTCTCCCACTTTCTAGCCGAGTGCCTTAACCACCAGACCATTGGAATGTATAGAGTTTGGTTATCAGAAACAAATTGCTAATTTTTATTACTTTTATTAATCATTAGCAAAAAATTATCAGTTTTTTTTAACAAATTACATATATTTTTCATTACCAAAAACCAAAGAGTCACACAATAAATGGATATTGTTATTAAATGCTAGTATCTGGATTGATTGAATGATTGAATTAGAAAACAAATTGTAATCTTTAAAAAAATCACATCTTGCAAAATGCATATAATAAATTACACTTTCCTACATGATGAACAAAATTCAATATCTCTTCAGAAGTACATTAGTACATTCTTTTAATGATTTTGGGGGTGGGGAATGCTTCAGCTGTTCTGCCATAACAGGTATAAGAAAAACATGCCATTGACAAAATAGTTTTCAGCATTGCATTGTGTGGTGATTTATTTATCACTTATCAAAATTGCTGCATCAAGATAACATCTGTGTTAATAGCTGTAATGAATAAAATATATTCAGAGTCATAATGTAATCACAGGAAACGGCATAACATTAAATGTATTAAACAACCTTATTTCCAGATTATTTACAATGTTCCTAATATCTGAATTGCTTACCTGCTTTTGCCTGTTTCCAGTTGCTATCACCCAGGGAGGTGCAATCCAGTTAGCAAACAATGGCACGGATGGAGTCCAGGGCCTGCAGACTCTAACTATGACCAATGCAGCTGCAACCCAGCCGGGTACCACCATTTTACAGTATGCACAGACTACTGATGGACAACAAATTCTGGTACCCAGCAACCAAGTAGTGGTACAAGGTAGGATAAGGACATTCTTAAAGATTGACTCAAGGTTGATGCTTTATTTATTTATTTATTGAATCATTCATTCTTTTATTTATGAAATTGTTAAAGTGCTAGTTATTAGAATAGGAGAGGCTTTTCTTCCTGTTCTTCAAATAAAATCTGTTGGGATATGAGGAATAGCACTGAAACAAGCAAGAGCTATAAGCATACACATTTTTTTCTGACACAAATATGTGAACTTAAGGGAGAACAGAAATGCAAACATAACACACACATATACGGAAATAAATTCAGAATTTATTGGAGGCCATTCCTGGTAAAGAGGTTAGAAAGAATTCCAGAGGCCATGCTCTGCATGCCTTTGCTACCTCGTTTCTTACAATTTTCTGTCCCTTTTAAGTAGACAGTTCAGGAATGGGATAGATAATTTCTACTAGCAATTTATATTGATATCTTGCATAATAGGGTTGAAATTAGAAATGGGTTTATGTGAAACTAGCCCAAGATTTCATTTGGGCTATTTCACATTGCCTCCTTCTAAACTCTTAGCAAATAATCTCTTTAATCTTTCCGTTAAAGTTTTATTTCAGATTTCCCCCAAATTCTCTTTAGCTTTATTAGTAGCAACAGTTTTTGGAGCAGTTTTATACTATCAGAACGATAGGTTATTATTGCAATTAGAAATAGGAGATATGAGACCTGCCTCAGCTTGAACCTCTAATTAAGAACGATCCTTAACTCCCATTTGTTGAGAAATGTATAGTTTACTAGAAGTCAAGTGAACTACAGTAATGCGTAGACAGAACTGAAAATCATGCACCAAAATTCCCAAGTCTTCTTTTTTATTTATTTATTTATTAATTAAATTTCTATACCGCCCTTCTCCAATAGGACTCAGGGCGGTGCACAGCCAAGATAAAAACAAAGCATACAAAATTTAAGAACAGTATTAAAATAATTAAATATTTTGGCCGAAATTAAGATAACCCAATTTAAAATCAATTTAAAATTTAACTCAGGCCAGCCCAGCTTGTTGAAATAAATAGGTTTTCAGGGCCCGACGAAAAATCCGGAGGTCTGTTATTATACGTAACTCTGGGGGAAGGTTGTTCCAGAGGGTGGGCGCCGTCACAGAGAAGGCTCTCCCCCTGGGGGTCGCCAGCCGACATTGTCTGGCGGACGGCACCCTGAGGAGGCCCACTCTGTGCGAGCGTACTGGCCGGTGGGAGGCTATTGGTGGCAGAAGGTGGTCTCGTAAATACCCCGGCCCTAAGCCATGGAGCGCTTTAAAGGTGGTCACCAACACCTTGAAGCGCACCCGGAAGACCACCGGGAGCCAGTGCAGCTCGCGCAGGAGAGGTGTCACATGGGAGCGCCTCGTCGCCCCCATAATCCCCCGCGCGGCCGCGTTCTGGACCAGCTGGAGCCTCCGGGTGCACCCCAGGGGGAGCCCCATGTAGAGAGCGTTGCAGTAGTCCAGGCGGGAAATGACTAGTGCCTGAGTGACTGTGCGTAGAGAGTCCCGATCTAGAAAGGGGCGCAGCTGGCGTATCAGGCGAACCTGATAAAAAGCCCCCCTGGCCACGGCCGTCAAATGATCTTCTAAAGACAGCCGTGCGTCCAGGAGGACGCCCAAGTTGCGAGCCCTCTCCGTGGGGGCGAGTGATTCGCCCCCAATAGCCAGCGATGGCGTCAGCTGGCTATATCGGGACGCTGGAAGCCACAGCCACTCGGTCTTGGAGGGGTTGAGTCGGAGCCTGTTTCTCCCCATCCAGGCCCGCACGGCCTCCAGACACTGGGACATCACTTCAAGGGCATCGTTGGGGTGGCCTGGGGTGGGTGGAGATGTACAGCTGGGTGTCATCAGCGTACTGATGGAACTCCACCCCAAAGCCACGGATGATCTCACCCAGCGGCTTTACATAAATGTTGAACAGAAGGGGCGAGAGGACCGACCCTTGTGGCACCCCACAAGCAAGGTGCCTCGGGGTCGACCGCTGCCCCCCGTCAACACAGATTGCGACCGGTCAGAGAGGTAGGAGGAGAACCACCGCAGAACGGTGCCCCCCACCCAACCCCGCCAACCGGTGCAACATGATACCATGGTCGTCGATGGTATCAAAAGCCGCTGAGAGGTCTAACAGGACCAGGACAGAGGAGCAACCCCTATCCCGAGCCCTCCAGAGATCATCCACCAACGCGACCAATGCCGTTTCCGTGCTGTTACCCAGGCCGGAAGCCGGACTGGAGCGGGTCTAGATAGACAGCTTCATCCAGGTACCGGGGAAGCTGTTGCGCCACCACACTCTCAACAACCTTCGCAACAAAGCGAAGGTTGGAGACTGGACGATAGTTAGCCAAACAGCCAGATCCAGAGAGGGCTTCTTGAGGAGGGGCCTCACAACCGCTTCTTTCAAAGCGGCCGGCAGGACCCCCTCACTCAAAGAAGCGTTAACAATCTTCTGGAGCCAGCCTCGTGTCACCTCCGGGAAGCCAGTACCAACCAGGAGGGACACGGGTCCAATAAACATGTGGTCGCGTTCAGCCGTCCCAGGACCCTGTCCATGTCCTCGGGAGCCACAGGATCGAACTCCCCCCAGATAACACTCAAGACCTGCCTCAGTCATCCCGTCCGGACATACCCAGTCAGAGGCCAGTCCTTCCCGAATCTGAGCGATTTTGTCATACAGATACTGCACAAAGTCCTCGGCTCGGCCCTGCAAGGGGTCATCCCGCGCTTCCAGATGGATGGGGGCGGGTCACCCTAAACAGGGCGGCCGGGGGCGATTATCTGATGACGCGATAAGAGCGGCAAAATAACTAGATTTCGCCGCTTTTATCGCCACTAGGTAGGTCTTAATATGAGACCTCGCCAGTGTTCGGTCGGATTCGGAGCGACTGGTCCTCCAACTACTCTCCAGGCGTCTTTTTCCGGCGCTTCATCTCCCTGAGCTCCTCGGAGAACCAAGGAGCTAGGTGAGTTCGGTGCCGGGTCAGAGGCCGCAAAGGCACGACACGGTCCAAGGCCCCGGCAGCCGCACTATCCCAGGCGGCCACCAGGTCCTCAGTCGAGTCGTGAGCCAGAGTCTCAGGAAATGGCCCAAGCTCCATCTGGAACCTATCAGGGTCCATCAGGCGCCTGGGGCGGAACCACCTGGTCGGTCCCGCCTCCCTGCGGCGGGGGTGCGGCGGTTAGAAAGTCCAGTCGAAGGAGCGAGTGGTCAGACCATGACAAGGGTTCGATGACTATATCCCCTGTATCAAGGCCACTCAACCACTGACCAGAGACAAAAACTAAGTCCAGAGTGTGTCCACCCGTGTGAGTGGGGTCATGAATTAACTGAGTAAGGTCCATGGCCGTCATGGAAGCCATGAACTCTCGAGCCACCTCAGACGTTTCGCCGACAGATGGCAAGTTGAAATCCCCCATGACTAGAAGTCTGGGGGGTACCAACCGCCACCTCAGCTATGACGTTGAGCAGCTCGAGCAGGGCCGTTGCCACGCGGCAGGGAGCCAGGTACGTGATCAACAAGCCCATCTGTACTCCACGACCCCCACCTCACAAAAAGGGGACTCACATCCGGCTATCTGTGGAACAGTGGTCTCCCTCGGATCAAGACTTTCCTTTATAATAACCGCCACCCCCCGCCCCTGCCCTGAGCTCTCGGCTGATGGAATGCTCGGAAACCTGGTGGGCACATATCCACGAGGGGAACCCCCCCCTCATGGCCCAACCAGGTCTCCGTAATACCTGCCAGGTCCGCTCCCCCCTCCTGAATAAGATCGCAAATGAGGGGGGCTTTATTTACCACGGACCTGGCATTGCACGACAGCAGCCGAAGGCTCGGGCCCTGAGAGTCTGAACAGCCTGGGATACGAGAAGGGCTATGGGGACCGGGGCGTGCCACCGCTCGAAGATAGCGAGTGCGCGCCCCACTACATGATGCGGCCCCCTGCTCCCACCATATCTGCCCCTCCCACTCAACACATTGATAGAAAAGCCCTCGACAGAATGGACTCTGATGTCCCCCTTACCCCCGGAATCTACACCCTCCGTGGCCCCACTAACAGCTGGGCCGGACCCCTCCCCCCGTGGGTTAACCCCCAAACCCACACAACCCTCCCGCCCTTAAAATCCCTTAAAAATCTATCAAAAAGTTTCCCTAAAAAACCCCTTAATCCCCTTTTTGCAGCATGCCACCTCTCGGGGTGCCAAAGCCCGTCATAAAGGTAGGCCCTTGATAAAGTGGAGGGCCACACCTGCGAGAGGGGGGGAGTCTCGCAGAATAAGAAGTTCTGTTGGCGAATACATCTAATCAATCAATTAATCAATCAATCAATCGGGGGAAAATCAACGGCCTGGGGGTAATCAAGATAGTCCAAAGTCTGGAAAGGGATATTCAATCAATTCCAAGTCAATAAACTCCACTGCTCTCTCACAGCAGTGGATGGAGTCTTAGGCCGCTTCGAGGCCAGATGTTAACACCAGCTGCCCTCTCACGAAAGCTGGGAAGGGCCAGAAACCGCAGTCATCGACCGGCACCATGAAAGACTTGAAATCCGAATATTTCCCTCTTACAATTTGGGGGCATTGATAACAAACCACCAATCTACAGGTTCACGGGCCCAGAGAAGACTCCGATAACTCTAGCGGCTGCACCTTAGGCGAGTAGGGAGGCGAATCGGGAGGCTATAGATGTCCATGTCCATGGGAGGCAGGTATCATAACAAGTATCGTATCATATTATTCAGAGGCATCTCCAGATGATAAGTGGCCTCCTGGAGGCTGATAGACCACGTAAGGCATAAAAGCCTGGCCCAAGGTCTTTTGTGACCATCAAACAGCAATGTTTCTAGCTCACCCCCATCCAAATGAGGGAGGGGGGGAGCCTCTGGAAGGACCAGGAGTGGGCCCCCTCCAAGTGGGCCTCCCATCCATAGCTGTAACCGGCAGTTCCAAGAAACAAACATTGATGGTCTGATTCAAATCATGGTCAGGATGCCCCTCGCTCTCCCTATTCAGGCTCCTGTCCCTTTCCGGCCTCTCTGATGTTATCTCTCCCAGCCGTTCGTCCCAGTGTTAAAGCGAGTGCCAATCCCGACGATGCCAGCTCTTAAAACATCCCCGTCCACCGTTGGGTCTAACAGGAAGCCCCTGTCATCCCCTCGGAGTCCCTGAAGCTCCAGGGAGGGGCTGCATCGCCGACGCCGCCACCGCCCGTTCCACTAGCTCGGCAGCTGCGGGGAGATGCCGAGGGCGCTGAGGGCGCTCTCCCCGCTCATAGAGCCGCAGCGCAGCCGTCTCCGTCTCGTTCGTGGCCATCGTGTCCTGGAGAGCTGCCAGCTCTCAAGAAGATGACACAGACTGGTGAGAAGCTCCCCTCACCAGACATGGGGGTCAATTAGCTGGTCGAACCCCCCGGAACCCCCAAAACCCGGGGGATATCCCCCGAGTATCGCCGCCGCTCAGCTGGGAGCGGCCATCTTGGACATGCGCAGAGGAAAGATCACTTTCACTTAGTTGCCTTCCATCACTGGCCCCTCATGACTAATCACATTCAAACAAGATGTTTTCAGAATGGTTGAGTTTCTGCAAGTTTAATATAATAATGGATTGTTCATGGAAATGTTAAGATTAGCTTATTTCTTTGGGCCACTAGTTAATGGGGCTTTTTTTAGAGTTAACAGATACAAGGTCAATCTGATTGATAAGAGATTAGGTTTCTATATTTGAGATATTTTTAAAAGAACTGTGATGTAAAATAGTAGTATAATAAATAGCAAATATAGATCAGAAAGTTTATAATTATTTGTAGACCCACTGTGCAAGGGAGGGAATCTATTATATTTATTTGAGATATATTTGTCAATATTCAACCAGTGTAGACAATGTATGTTTAATGTTGATTCTATATATGTTGTGCACACTATTTTTTTTCTTTTGTGTGTGTTTGTAATTTGGTCCGGGATTGTCTTTCTGTTTTTGTACTTTTTAATACCCTATCTTTAAAATAAATATCATTTATTAAAAAGAAAAAAATTAAAAGAATGAGACATCAGAGGCAGAAACCACAATTTTATAAAATATGGATGGATCTTATGGTTTACCATTAGAGCAGTAGACTATAATATGATGATAGTTTTATATATATGGTAAATTAATGCATTTATAGTACCTTTCTATTTACATCTTAGTAGGGTTTTTTTTCTCTGTGCATCTGGGATTTATATTATTTTGGTCATTTGATAATGCTTGTTAATCATAGTTAATCATAGTACAATAAAATCTAATTCTATTATATGATTCCAGTAAATTATTCAGGTTGAGTTGAACATATTTGTTGAGTTACAAAAGATATGTAAATCAGGAACATATGGGAGATAGGAAAGGAAACCTTAGGAGAAAACATGTGGGAAATGTAAAGGCAGAAAAAAAGTAGAATCTTGATAGTAGATACATTGGGAGGGAAAAAGATAAAGAACAAGAGCAATGGTTGTGGGAGAAGGAGTTGGAGAGAGAGAAGAGATACATAAGATTGGGTAAAAGAAGCCCCCAAAAAGCAGTAGTCAGATTAAAATATCCTTTGAATCTCAAAGATGATTTGGGCAGAAAATAGGAACAGGGAGGGGGGAGACATTCTTTTAAGTAGTTTCAGAAGGAAAGTGATCAGGGAACAAAGTAACTAAGAAAGAGGGATAGGAGACAGAAGTCAAAGAGGATATTCAATGCAAAAAGAAATGCTTGAGAATTGTACATTATTTCTATAAATACAGAACAGCAGAAACTTTGTATTTTTGCAGTGAGAGTTGCAGTCAACCATGCCAGTTACATTAATGGAAGAAGAGAACTGCCAATTAGTGTTTTTAAAAAATCAAATGTTTTTAAGAATTGCCTAGTACTGTCAAATGTAACATTTTGTAATTCTTTCTAGCTGCTTCAGGAGATGTTCAGACCTACCAAATTCGCACAGCACCCACAAGCACCATTGCACCTGGTGTCGTCATGGCATCTTCCCCAGCTCTTCCCACTCAACCAGCAGAAGAAGCAGCACGAAAAAGAGAAGTCCGTCTAATGAAGAACAGGTTTGTATACAATTCAGCAATAGCCAAAAATATTTTTACAGGTAGTCCTTGACTTACAACCACAATTGAGTCCACATTTTTGTTACTAAGAGAGACAATTGTTAAGTGACTTTTGCCCCTTTTTATGGGGCTTTCTGCCACATTTGTTAAGTGATTCACTGCAGTTGATAAATTACTACCACAGTTGTTAAGTGAATCTGGTTTCCCTATTGACTTTGCTTGTCAGAAGGTCACAAAGGTGATGACATAAGTCCCCAGAACACTGCTGACATATTAAATATGAGCTAGTTGCTAAGCATCTGAATTTTGATCATGTGACAATGGGGGTGCTGCAACAGTTGTAAGTATGAAAAAGAGTCATAAGTCACTTTTTTCAGTGCCGTTGTAACTTCAAACAGTCACTAAATGAATGGTTGTAAGTGAAGGACTACCTGTATTTGAAAAGCAGACCAACAGCTTTCTTTACTCCCATTCTAAAGAAAGTTTTCTTATATAAGATGGAATTGATGGTACGAAAAACAATTCGTTTATCTGAAAACCATGCATAACTGGGAAGGAGATTTGCAATTCCCTTGTTGCATTGCAGTGGGTAGTAAGAGCCATAAAGTTTAGGACAAGTATTTTTTCTTTGGTCACGGCTCAGAATTAATCTTGTTAATAGTCAGAACCATATCATTTGCAAAGCAACTATGCAATATCAACTAGAAATAAATCATTTCAAGCAAGAAGACAGCAGAATGATTCTTACTTCAGTCAACTTATATGATTTGATAAATCCAATTATAGTATATCAACCAAAACCATAGATTATTCTTTTAATATTTGTTCAGTGCAAAGTTGCGTAGTCAGTGTGCAACGTATAGCTCCTTAGATGTTCTAGTCATACATGGTTATTTGAAAACTAATGTAATTCTTAATTGTGCATCCTCCCTTTAGTGTATTGTCTGAAGAAGGAACTCATATTTTTATTGTTATTGTTTGGAATATGCCAGAAGAAACAAACAATTGGGGTTTTCTATAGCACATTCTTATAAACAAGCAGAGTTGGAGCATTTTTAATTTGTTAGATAAACCCTCTTGCTGGGGGAAAAAAAGCAAATACTGCATGTGACAGCACTTTGTTAGTGATCATTAAATCATGTCTTACCTTGTTATATTATGCAACTGGCTCAATAAATTATTCAATACCTCAAAAGAGCCCTTAGGCTAAGCAGTGGTGACTTACTAGCAGGAGAGAGGAAAAAACAGCCACTCTTAATTAATTAATACTACTTTTACATTAATATTACTTAGTTTTTAGGTTCCTTTCAAAGATAAAAAATATGTGAGATATAAAAATATTAAAGTATTAAAGAAATTGCTAACAGTAATGAAAACTGTCATGCAATAATGTTTTATTTCACTCCTCTCAGACCAAGTGATTTATAATTTTGAAGCATTTCTGAGACAGTAACCTATGAGCATTTATTTTAGATAACTTTTAGGCAGATTTACTATTAGATAAAAATGTAGAAAATGAGCAACTTATTGCAAGAGAAAAATGAGAAGATGACATTTTCCCCTTTAATATAATTGAGACTGTAATTTTAATCTTATCAAAGGATAAAACCATTGAACATACAGTGGGGCAAAAAAGTATTTATTCAGCCACCAATTGTGCAAGTTCTCCCACTTAAAAAGATGAAAGAGGCCTGTAATTGTCATCATAGGTAGACCTCAACTATGAGAGACAAAATGAGAAAAACAAATCCAGACAATCACATTGTCTGATTTGGAAAGAATTTATTTGCAAATTATATGGAAAATAAGTATTTGGTCACCTACAAACAAGCAAGATTTTTGGCTCTCACAGACCTGTAACTTCTTCTTTAAGAGGCTCCTCTGTCCTTCACTCATTGCCTGTATTAATGGCACCTGTTTGAACTTGTTATCAGTATAAAAGACACCTGTCCACAACCTCAAACAGTCACACTCCAAACTCCACTATGGTGAAGATCAAAGAGCTGTCGAAGGACACCAGAAACAAAATTGTAGACCTGCACCAGGCTGGGAAGACTGAATCTGCAATAGGCAGGCAGCTTGGTGTGAAGAAATCAACTGTGGGAGCAATAATTAGAAAGTGGAAGACATACAAGACCACTGATAATCTCCCTCAATCTGGGGCTCCACGCAAGATCTCACCCATGGGGTCAGTGATGTTTTGGGGCTGTCGCTGGGCAACACGGACTTTCAACTCCCTCCAAAGGTTTTCTATGGGGTTGAGATCTGGAGACTGGCTAGGCCACTACAGACCTTGAAATGCTTCTTACGAGCCATTCCTTCGTTGCCCGGGTGGTGTGTTTCGGATCATTGTCATGCTGAAAGACCCAGCCACGTTTCATCTTCAATGCCCTTGCTGATGGAAGGAGGTTTGCACTCAAAATCTCACGATACATGGCCCCATTCATTCTCTCCTGTACACGGATCAGTCGTCCTGGTCCCTTTGCAGAGAAACAGCCCCAAGCATGATGTTGCCACCCCCATGCTTCACAGTAGGTATGGTATTCTTTGGATGCAACGCAGCATTCTTCTCCTCCAAACACGACGAGTTGTGTTTCTATCAAACAGTTCTGCTTTGGTTTCATCTGACATATGACATTCTCCCAATCCTCTTCTGGATCATCCAAATGCTCTCTAGCAAACTTCAGACAGGCCTGGAATGTACTGGCTTAAGCAGAGGGGACACGTTTGGCACTGCAGGATCTGAGTCCCTGGCGGCGTAGTGTGTTACTGATGGTAGCCTTTGTACATTGATCCAGCTCTCTGCAGGTCATTCACTAGGTCCCCCGTGTGGTTCTGGGATTTTTGCTCACCATTCTTGTGATCATTTTGACCCCACGGGGTGAGATCTTGCGTGGAGTCCCAGATCGAGGGAGATTATCAGTGGTCTTGTATGTCTTCCATTTTCTAATTATTGCTCCCAAAGTTGATTTCTTCAAGCTGCTTGCCTATTGCAGATTCAGTCTTCTCAGCCTGGTGCAGGTCTACAATTTTGTTTCTGGTGTCCTTCGACAGCTCTTTGGTCTTCACCATAGTGGAGTTTGGAGTGTGACTGTTTGAGGTTGTGGACAGGTGTCTTTTATACTGATAACAAGTTCAGACAGGTGCCATTAATACAGGCAATGAGTGAAGGACAGAGGAGCCTCTTAAAGAAGAAGTTACAGGTCTGAGAGAGCCAGAAATCTTGCTTGTTTGTAGGTGACCAAATACTTATTTTCCACCATAATTTGCAAATAAATTCTTTCCAAATCAGACAATGTGATTGTCTGGATTTGTTTTCTCATTTTGTCTCTCATAGTTGAGGTCTACCTATGATGACAATTACAGGCCTCTCTCATCTTTTTAAGTGGGAGAAACTTGCACAATTGGTGGCTGAATAAATACTTTTTTGCCCCACTGTATATGGATGGGAAGGAGAACTCTGTTTGCTCTAGCTCTAAAATTACTATATTATTGAAGTTAAAATCAGCTATGAATGTTGAAAATTGTCCTGAGTCTGAATATTTTCTTTTATTTTGCTTACAGGGAAGCAGCACGCGAGTGCCGCAGGAAGAAAAAAGAATACGTTAAATGTCTAGAAAACAGAGTAGCTGTCCTTGAAAACCAAAACAAGACATTAATTGAAGAATTAAAAGCACTTAAGGACCTCTATTGCCACAAATCAGATTAATTTTAATTCCCCATTTTTTATTTCTTAATGGGGGAAAAGACTGGTTTGGTGATAGCCAAACAGACAAAATGAACTTTTTATTTTCTAAGCATTTTTTTCTTTTTTCTACATACACAACTGTCGGAAAGCAACTAAGGAATTTGATTCATCTGTGCTTGGCATTAAACTGTGAATGTTGCACATCTGCCTTCACTTCTTCCCCTTCTGAAATTGATTTCATCACAGTACACCCTGATTCTGAAGAAAAAAGCAAACTTCCTCTTCAAGAAATAATAATCTTCATTTGTGAAGTTACAAGAATTGGAGGTTTCTTACAATAATTTCAAGAGTCAGCATAATCTCATCTGAATGCCTTAGCGAGAGTAACCCTGGACTTTTGCCCTGAAATACTCAATGGGCCACATATATGACCAAGGTATGATGTACTGAGGTGGCTGTGGTTGCCAGGTTATTGCATAATTTCAAATATACGTTAGCAGTTGTACAGTTAACTTCTATATGGTGGGATAATGCCAAAGGAGGTGCAATTCAGGTATACTATACCATAGAGGAATAGGAGTGAGCTGAAGAAATTAAGGAAGAGGCAAGTGGGACAATTATGAACCCAATCCAATTTTTGTACAACAACAAAAAACCCACTTATTTTCTATAATGTTTTAATAAGCTTTATGTAGCCAGACTTCAGAATTCAAATGACAACTATCACTTTATATGGTTGGGATGTAAACTGGTAGGAAGCAATAGTGTACTATATGTTTAAGATGGGAACATAATAATACATTCACTACTATTTCCTTTTTCTGTATCCAAAAGCAAGATTATCCAAGGTGACAATTAGAAGCATAGTTAGCATAATGCACATTTTGGGAAAAGAAAACTTACAGCTATCCTAATTGTATCATGCAAGTAATAATTTTGAAACTTTACCTCTCAAAACTTTTGACTTTTCTGTTTTGCTTAAAACCTCCTTTGATATATCTTTAAAAAGAAGTACATTCATTCTCTGTTGCATCATCTGCATGTATAGTGTGGATATGATAAAGATTTTTTTTTGCTAAAATCCTACCTAGTGTATATTCAGATGCTATTACATTTATCCATTGGACACATTTATCAAACACATTTAATGCAGTCTACAATTCATTTAAGCTGACTAATATCAATAGGCCTCCCCGTAATTTAAGATTCTAATTATATATATAAAATTGCCATATACAAAGATTTTAATCAGATTTTGCAGAAGCAAATAAAAGAATCTGACAGCCATGAGCATAGTAAATCTTTTGAAGCCATTAGAATTTTTTTGGTGAAAAAAAACATATCCTGGAGTTCATTGAAGCTGAGGATTCATTAGGGTCAGAATGAGATTGCATGGAGACAATTGTCTAAGGGCAGTCATTATTTCAATGTGTATGTATGTATACACACACACACACACAAGCTATTAAAATAAACTTAAATGGTAGCTGTTCTGAAAGATAAAATACCAGGGTATATTAGGGAGAAATTATTGGGTGCATTTAACAATGTGATGATATATAGGGATTACTTCATTTTTAAAAGCATTTTTCCGTAAAAAAATATTTTTTATATAGGAACAGATAAACTTTTTCTTCGTTTATATAGTAAGTCAAAACCAATTCTGCATTTGGAAAAGATAAATGTTCCACTCTCCTTTTAATTTGCTAGACAGACTTGCTTATCCTCCTCCTGGCATAAAAAATAGATACCTGAACATCTGTGTAAGTAATTTATATATGGATTGTGATCTTTCATAAATTGGCTGGAACAGAATGAAAGCATATAAATTAATAATTAAGTGCTACTATTCTGAAAATTTCGTTCTCTGTATCTTTAAAAAACAAGTACTTTGGTCTAGCAAAGTTTAAGAATATATCGTATAGAGAGCTGAAATCCACAATTTGTAGCTGCATTGTGAAATTTCCCTGAAAATATGGTAGAATCATGAATTCACTGATTATGCAGAAGTCATTTTTGTAACACTGTTGTCATGGTATGTGATATCTTTTTGTTTGGATAATTTTGAAAAAGTATCTCATAAAGCTGGCCGTTTTGGGATCACATAAATGGGTTAACTTGTATAAAAATTATGCAATAATGTAAGATTTATTTTAAAGACTTAAGTACTGGAAAAGCAACCACCATAACTCTCTCCACTATTTTGACACCATTTGTAATTATTGGGTATGATTGTATTTTAGCAGATAAGCCACCAGCTGAGCGGGCTATTTGGGGCCGGGGTAGATAAATAGCCTTTACAGCTTTTATAAGTGCTCTATGAAAGAGGCTAAATCTCGATCACTTGTAGTATCACAGGATCTATTGTACTGGTTCTATAGTAAATATAAAATTTACATTCTGAGATTTTTCACCAGCAATAACACAACATTTCAGTTCACTTTATTTATCCTGTACTGAGTTACTTAGGCATCTGGCATTCCATATATACTTTGAATTATGTTTTAATTATCCCGAGTATAGAGCAGGTTGGTTCCAATATGTGTTTTGCAAGTAACAGCCAAAATGAACAGGGGAATAGTACTGAAAAACCAACCCTCAGTTTGTATATTACTAATTTATTGAGTTAATAAATTTATTGAATAGTTAGTCTCTGTTATACACTTGGCCCCTTTGCTGCATAACAAAAATTTTGTTGAGTTTATTGACAGATTTAACTAAAACAACTGGCATAGAAAGGGCTAGCTCCATTATACTCATCATACATAGAATTGATTTCAAGTACAGTTTCCATATTTTACAAAAGAAAAAAAAACATTATTCAGGCAGTACAAATATTGCCTGAGGTGTTCTTCTAAAAGATATTCTTGGAAAGGTTTATGTATAAAGTATGTACATATATAAAATATATATACACAGTATATAATCTATAGCTCTGAGAGCTTTTAAGTCAGGAATGCTGAATATTATAGTATATTGAGGTCAGAAAAAATAGTATGTATGTGTGCAGATACATGCTTATTGTTTCTTCTCTCTTCCACCCCTCACTCACCCCCCAAATTTTGAGCTATATTATTCTGGCGCTTATTGATATGTTGTACTGTTGTTTACTTACCCATTTTCAATTACTTTATTTCACTGCAGTTTGTATTTGTTATGATGGTGAATTATGAAGTGATAGCAACTGTTTAAAATTCCTCTTGTTCCCAAGTTCTTCACTTTGTGCTTTGTCTGTTGGGCAGCTATTCATTTAAGACAAAACAATTGGAAAACATTTGGGTTATATGGAGGGAACAAAAGAGAAAAATGGTTGCTCAATATTTTATTTGCATAATTTTACCCTACACTTGAGTAATGGAAAGCATTGTAACAAGAATTTGAAAGCATACTTAAGCTCAGATACGTTTGGTAATTGCACAGTACCGGTATGTCTGTTCTGGAATTTACCGTGTTCTATAAAACTAAGCAATTATAAAATTGCATAATGACAACTATATAATTTTATAAAAGAGGAGAGCTTTCATCATAATTATAACTAAGAACTGAAATACATGATCAGCAGATACATGTTTTATTATAGATATGTACCACTTGAGATGCTTCAGGGATGAATGTTTGCTCATGCACATTAAAAAAAAATCTAGCATGTTAAATGAGAAAGATGCTTTCTACTTCTGATATCAGTTTTGATATGTGGAAATATTCTTTTTACACAAAGATGCAAGTGTTCATTTTTCCACTTACAGCCTGCAGAGGAGTGGCTCAGTAGCAGATACATCTGAGTGTATTAATGTAACTTTAATGTGCTCCTGCTTATGGTGGGCTTAATATCTCTATGCTTGGATGTTGTTACTCAATGGACTCTCATGATAATCCTAAGAGACAGCTGTTTTTTTAGAGGCATCTGCACAAGGCAATACCAAAGATTGAGATCTCAAGTTAAGGGGATTCCAATAAGAAAGGCTAATATTTAATTGTTAGAATATTTGAAAGAGAAAGAAATTCTAGGGAATGAGCAATAGATATATATTTTTAAAAGCACAATATTTCCCAGTGCCAATTGAGATGAGATTGTACTAGTTACCACATGTAGTGTTTATAACATTCTTTGGGATTTCTTATGTTGTACAAATCCATGTTTGCAGATGTTATGCCTATTGATACATGTACCTGAGCACCCAAAGAGTTCTGAATATTTTGAGAAGCACAGCCACTTTGGGACTGTTAAATAACAAAATGGTGCTGAACTTTAGCAATCTACAGCTTTGTAGTGACAATTTTCATTTTGAATATAGCATAAACATGGTCAATAATTAGAATTGAATTATAAATATTGCAATCTCACATATTTTTTTTTTAAAAAAATGCAACTGTAGCCCAAAACAAGTAATATAAGTACAAGTATATTTTGGTATTGCAGGTACTGGTTCCTACTAGCCATTTCAAGCCTTTTAAAAATTTGTCTCTACAGTTGGGGTTAATTCAGGATTGTTATTATGAATATTATAGGTTGTTACAAATCTTTTTGCATCCACTTGCCCACTTTCTCAGGGTTACTGTATATTTTAACATTGCTACTCTGTAGCATAGTTATATATAATTTATTTCTGCAATGCTAAATTATAAACAATGTGTCAGCAGTTTATCTCAGTACTATGTTTCAGAATATATGGCTGAAAAAAACCTCAAGGATTTTTGGAATTGTAGTGCATTCTCAGTGACAGCATTTTAACATAATTGAGATGTGTTTACATGTGATTTGTTTTAAACCCACAATGAACCCAGGGCACTTCAACACTCTTATGTATCTGTGGAGTCTCCTCACTTGAATGCCATCTATTAATTGACCTGTTGATCATGTAACAAATAAAATGTTGGTGCATGCCTAAGTGTTTCGAAACAAGTATTTGCTGTACTTACACGGGAGTATTCTATCACATTGTTACCTGAGTCTCAGACTTAGCCAGATGCATTACTGACATTCTGAAAAATGAGCTTCAAGAATAAAACAAGCTGGTTGTAATAACAAATTCATAACAAAAACGAAAGGATAATTTTGAAATGCTTTCTATAAGTTGTACGTTATCCAAGTGCCACGCCATTTTTGGGTCATGGGGTTATTTGTGAAACAATAAATGAAACATTAGCGCTTTAATTCCATTTAAGATTTTACTATTCAAGTATGCTTCATGCTCTCATTTGAGAAGCACCAAGGAAAGGGAAAGTTGTGCAACTTCTGATCAATTTATTCTTGTTCTGTTTGGATCTCAGGTTCACATGAACGTGAACTTTCTTTAGAATATTATGGGAGGAACAGCTGTGCTAGTTTTATTTAATAAAATTTATTCTCCCTGTAACTGATTCTTTATCCAAAACAATCAGCAAAAAAACAGGGTACTGAACTTTTTAAAATGTTTTTATTGCAAATTAAATTACTAGGCAGAGAAATACAAACTAGAAATGGATTAAGTTAAATTGAGAATTCCTTATTATTTTGAAATATCCCAGTTTTAATTTTGTAATTTATCCAGTTGTATTTTGTTTTTTGTTTTTTTAATGTACTGGGTTATACTGCATTTTATTAACATTATGTACATACTAACTGCTTTGTGTTTCAGAAGCTAGTAATTGCTTTGTATATTAAAGTGATATTTGTGAATTTGTGAAATACTGTCATAAAGTGCTTTTTTCTTACTGTAAAGTTTGTGGTATAAACTGTCATAAAACTCTTTTTACACATCTATGTGCAGATACATAAACCTGCTTTTAAAATCTTTTTGAAGTCTCTCTTTTCAGATGGGATAATATATTTAAATGGAATCACTTACCCTACGTTTGTCAATTAGTCAGTTGAGACTAAAATTTGAAAAGATTAAGCATGTATTTCTTCAAGCAGGAATGCAAAAATGCAATTGGCACACACCATGTGCAAAGCTCCAAATGTTTTGCTCTTATTTGGCTATTTCATAATTGCATCTTTACTCCCTGTCTTCTTTCACTAACATGATTTGCCACCCTGTCCTTTCCCTGCCACACTGCTGCCCTTTCTTGTATAAACCATTCTTTCCATGCCACATTTCACCTCCTTCCCTTTGACTTCTTGCCACATTTATTTGAATTTGCATATATTTTGAGTGTATGAGTGCATGTATATGTCTGTTTAGCTTTTTTAAAATGTAATATAATAGCCCTCAGAAATGTATAATCTCAACCTGTTGGAATTTGCACACCCCTATTCTGAACCATATCTTTATTATTTCTATTATACAAGAGAAAAATAACATTTTTTCTAATCAAAATAATATAATTATTATGGGATGCTCAAGAAACTGAACCCATGTCCTAGACCTAGAATATACAAATATAAAGTGCTGTGCTAAATATGAAAATCCATAAAATTCTGCACTAGACAAAATTTTATTATGAAATAGGCTGTCCCAAAACAATATTTCATCAGTTTTTAAGCATTTTGATGCTACAGTAGATTAACCATTATTTAAGGACTCTGAATTTCAATTCAAAATAGTTTGGCTTCTAGACAGAACCCCATAATCCCCTGCATGCAAGTAATACCGCTGCATATGGATTCTTTAAGATTAGAAAAATGAAAAATAATCTTTGTGATTATTAGATATCTTTGTGCTTATACCACAAAGGAGCAATTTGATTTTAAGAGCCACATTCACAAAATAATTTTTTGGACAATACATTCAGAGGGTTTGTTTCAACCTCTGTATAAGATTTGCTAAAAATGGGATGCGGCTCTTCAGAGAAACATTTGGAGCTAATTCAGATTCTGCTGTCTAAGTGGTGACATCGGCCTTGTTTATGTTAGTTATTTTTTAATGCTTCAATTTTATATTATGTTTAAGCTGCTCAAAGTCTTTACAAATGGAATGGTAGATAAGCCAAAATCATCTGTGATACCGCTGAGGTGCTTTATTAATACTGCGCAGGTCTGATAGGGAAAGAATCAGCTTTGGTTCAGCCCTGACAAAACAGTGGATCTGGGGTTTAGAGATCTAGCGTCCAGTGATTTTCTATGGATAATTCTGGATAGGGTGATGCTCCCAAGGGCAGGGTTAATGCGCGATCTGAAGCTTCTAGATTTACAGCATGTACTTTGGGAAATGACAACTGTCCAGGAGGGTCTTTGCACAATTACATGTTGTACACTATAGTTGTGCCTACTCCCAGATCAAGCAGCACTGTTTATGGCCACTCATGCCTTAAGTCACTTCCTAACTGAACTGTAGCAATAGAGCTCACGGGCCTTGAAGAGCATTTGTAAGCTTCAGCTGGTCCAAAACATAACAGTTCATGGAGTATTGGATGCATTACAATATGCATCCATATAATACCCCTCCCCGAGTGAGTGCAGTTGAAGATGCTGGTTGTACCTTTAAAGGCTTGCATGACATGGGGCCAGGGTTTTTGCAAGACTGTCTACTTCCAATAGTTTCTGCCTGTCCTACTAGATCAGGCTGAGTGGACATGCTCCAGAACACATCCATGGGGCAATGTCACCTGGTGAGATCTAGGAAGCATGCCTTGCTGGTCATGGTGCTCTCATGGAGAAGTTTCAAAGGGATGTGAAGACCTGGTTCTTTCCCCAGACTTGGGTAGGTATATTGGGTGTACTGATGGAGTAGTTTCATTCATTATAAATTATATAGTAAATTTTATTTTTTGGCAATCTGAAGTCACGGCTGCCAGTTGTTGAGCTGGTGGCCTTCACATGCATCGAGTTTTTCCCCAAGAACCTAGGAAGTTGTAACATATTGTGCAGATCCAAGCAGTGTGCCTTTTGCAATTGACAAGATGGAAATTTTGTCAATGTGCAGATTTTATAAGTGCTGCCCAAGATTTTTTGGAATTGCACTTATATTATTATGGTTCATCACATAGTTTAAATTGGATTTGGCATTTTTATCCACCTATCGAATCCTTCCTAAGAACTTGGGATAGACAGATGTTCTTGCCTATTATTTTTTACAAATAACTCAAGGCAGCAAACATATACAACACACCTTCCTCCTGTTTCCCTCATAACGACAGTCCTGTGAGGTGGGTTGGGCTGAGAGTGAGTGACTGGTACAAACTCAGCTGGCTTTCATGACTAAGATGGGATTTGAGCTCATGGTCTCCCACTTTCTAGCCACAAAACTACTAGAGCTTTTCCTCCACTGAGTTTGGACTTCTCTACTCTTATATTCACTTCTAGCCTTCCTCATCGCTTCTTCATTCTTGGAAGTTGTCAACTTGAAGGATGGCACATTTGTCCAGTCCAAACTCCACTGCAATGTTTTTGTTATATATACAAATAGTACCAAGCAGTGATTCTATTATAACTTCTAATTTATTATTTTGATAATGTAATATTCAGAGCCCCAGTCCAGTTTCCTTTGAACTGGATTTGTATATCTTGGTTATGTTTTATTTCTGTTCTCTTTCCAGAATATCTTGAGTAGATGGGCAGCTATATAAATTTGTTAAAGAAAGCATTGTATAAGAAATCATATACTAATTAATCTATTTCAATAGATGCAGCAGTGACCCTTCTCCACATTCCACTCATGAAGAGATGATAGAAAAATCTAATTCAGTACCCAAACAGTCACTTAGGGAAACTTGGCAACAATTAGAGCAGCATGTGCAGAAAAACCTATATCAGTCCCTTACCTTTCTGCCTGCCCACCTTGACCTTCTTATTAAACATTGATTGCTGTCTGAAGGACTATTTTAAAACTCTCTATATGTGTAGACAACTGCTTTTAAAAAAGAGGTTAAAGATGGCTTAAGACATCATCTCTCAGTGGCCCCAAGTGACAAATAATGAAATTACAGATCTAATCAAGTAGTTTAACCTTGGTAATGCACCACAGACTCTGTCTTAGCTATACATTCCAACACGGACTAATTGGCTCCGATACTCACTTCTTTGCCTACATTTATTGACTGCAAATGTGGTTTCTAAAGATTAGGACTTGCCTCAAGTTACCAAGAATATTCAACCTCATCATCAACTGTCTCTTCCTCTTGATCCTTGTGGGAATGAATAACCTAGACAGAACACTTTGAAAGAATCCCTGGAAAACACAAAACCTTGGAGAGAAAGATGAAGGAATTGTGAGCATGATAACTGGGAGCACATATTTTTGCAGGTGTGTACTTCATTTATTTATTTATTTATTTTATTCAATTTGTATACCGCCCTTCTCCTAGTGGACTCAGGGCGGTGCACAGCCAGAACTAAAACACATACCAATACAAAATTTAAAATTATTAAAAGAATTACATAACTGGCCCAAATTTAAAACAATTCAATTAAAACCCAATGACAATTTAAAAACTAAAAAACTAAAAAAAACTAAAAAGGGGGGAGGGGGTTCACGCCAGCCCTGCTTGATGGAAAAGAAAGGTTTTCAGGGCACGTCGAAAGATCTGGAGATCCGATATCCTTCGTATCTCCAGGGGCAAATCGTACCAGAGGGCAGGAGCTGCCACAGAGAAGGCCCTCCCCCTGGGGATCGCCAGCCGACATTGCCTGGCTGACGGCACCTTGAGGAGTCCCTCTGTGGGAGCGTACTGGTCGGTGGGAGGCTATCGGCGGCAGAAGGCGGTGCTGCAAATACCCAGGTCCTATGCCATGGAGCGCTTTAAAGGTGGTAACCAATACCTTGAAGCGCACCCGGAAGACCACTGGAAGCCAATGCAGCTCACGCAGGAGAGGTGTCACATGGGAGTGCCCCCTCGCTCCCATAATCCCCTGCGTGGCCGCATTCTGCACCAGTTGGAGCCTCCAGGTGCTCCTCAAGGGAAGCCCCATGTAGAGAGCATTGCAGTAGTCCAGGCGGGAAGTGACGAGTGCCTGAGTGACTGTGCGTAAGGAGTCCCGATCCAGAAAGGGACGCAACTGGCGAATCAGGCGGACCTGATAAAAAGCCCCCTCTGGCCATGGCCGTCATATGCTCTTCTAAAGACAGCCGTGCATCCAGGAGGACGCCCAAGTTGCAAGCCCTGTCCGTGGGGGCCAATAACTCGCCCCCAATAGCCAGCGATGGCACCAGCTAGCTATATCGGAACGCCGGAAGCCACAGCCATTCGGTCTTGGAAGGGTTGAGTCGAAGCCTCTTACTCCCCATCCAGATCCGCGTGGCCTCCAGGCACCGGGACATTACTTCAAGGGCATCGTTGGGATGGCCTGGGGTGGAGATGTACAGCTGAGTGTCATCAGCATACTGATGGAACTCCACCCCAAAGCCACAGATGATCTCACCCAGCAGCTTCACATAAATGTTGAACAGAAGGGGCGAGAGGACCGACCCCTGAGGCACCCCACAAACAAGGCGCCTCGGGGTCGACCTCTGCCCCCCTGCCAACACTGACTGCGACCGGTCGGAGAGATAGGAGGAGAACCACCGCAGAACGGTGCCCCCCACTCCCAACCCCTCCAACCTGCGCAGCAGGATACCATGGTCGATGGTATCAAAAGCCGCTGAGAGATCTAACAGGACCAGGATAGAGGAGCAACCCCTGTCCCGAGCCCTCCAGAGATCATCCACCAACGCGACCAATGCCGTTTCCGTGCTGTGCCCAGGCCTGAAGCCGGACTGGAGCGGATCCAGATAGACAGCTTCATCCAAGTACCCAGGAAGCTGTCGCGCCACCACACTCTCAACAACCTTCGCCAAGAAGGGAAGGTTGGAGACCGGACGATAGTTAGCCAAAACAGCCAGATCCAGAGCAGGCTTCTTGAGGAGGGGCCTCACCACCGCCTCTTTCAAGGCGGATGGCAAGACACCCTCACTCAAGGAAGCATTGATAATCCTGCTCTCTTTGACAACCCATGTCACTCATCCAAGGGAAGCCCCCATTTTATCCCAAGCCTTTTTTCTGAAATAATTTTTCTTCTTTCAAATGTATGTCTCCTTTTGCTTTCGCCTGTATTTAATGAAGAACTTATATGAATTGGCCAGCTGACTGAAACAGAGAGGATTGAATATGGCTAATTTATCTTGTGACCATATATAGCTGGTCAGTTATTTCTTCAAAAATAATTGATAGATTGCTGTCCTTCTATGGCTCACCTGATTCTTTATTTTAACAATGAGTAAATCAAGAAGACAATTTTTATACAAAATGCAACCCGATTAACTCCAAATAAGGAGTTAATCAAACTCCTTATAACCAAAAAATAGATTAGTTTCACTTTATTCTCATAAAGTACTTTCATTGCAAGAGAAAGAGAGGGAGATGCTGCATGGAAGTTTTTGATCCAAGTATTGGGGCAATGAAAAGGAAAGAGAAGACACGAGCTGGCAAGAATTCATGATCAGACCAATCACAAATCCCCCTTCAGGATATGCCTCTGTGCTCTAAATATATGCACATCATTACCAGGGTCATAGAGCACTTCGTGCACTGTAAAATGTTCTCTAAGCATCTTCAGGAAATTCTGGTCCCGCTCATAACGGAGACGGCAGGATAACAGGATTACAGTCTCATCAGAGCAGAGATAATCCAGTGTCTGAAGAAGATCTGCAAATGTTTCTTCCAGATAAACTATGTCTGCGCCCAAAATAATATCATATTCTCCTGGAGAAAAGTCGGCCAAATCTTGTCCCCAGGTAAGTTCCTTTATTGCTGCTCTTGACTGAAGGTTGACAGGTAAATTAGTTTGCACATTTGACTCAAGTAAGGGCAATGTCGGCTTTCGGTCTGTGATTGTAACTTGAGCACCTAAGAGAAACATGGAGGACTGTTAAGAGAATCCTTATTCAAATAAATCTAGTGAAAAAACCTGATAAAGTTAAGCAATATTCTAGGAAAACTCAATGATGAGTGCACACATCTTTTTTGTTCCATTAATATTAGTAAAGCTAAAAGGAAACTACCATTTGAGATCCCTGTTAGATGCCAAAATGAATTTCTAGCCTACACTGGTTCTAGAGTAACTTACCAAGTAACACCGCTACAATTCCAAGGAGGCCTGTCCCAGCTCCTAACTCAATCACCTTGCGTCCCTGCAAATCAATGCCTCCCGTCTCCAGGAAAGCGCACAAGACCACTGCCTAGGTCAGGAGGGGAAAAAAATCTAATTAAGAATACTCATACAAGTCCAGTCAGATAATAGCATTTCTTCTGTCACCCATATGAGAAGTTTGTAAAAATGTTTAAGCACAAGATGTGATTTTCAGGCCACCAAGTGCAAGTCTTTATTTTGGAGCTTTTAAATGTGCATATCTAATTTTTATTTTTCAAGAGTGAAAGGTAGCAAATTCCCAATTGAAATGAGAACACAGACAGAAAGCACCTTCCCAGTGGTAAGAGGAGGCTAAGGGGATTGTCATCTATTCCTGCATTCCTGGTGTACAGGTAGTCCTTGACTCATGACCATTTATTTAACGGCAGTTCCAAGACACAACGGTGCTGAAAAAAGTGACTTACAGCTGGTCCTCACTTTCCTGCAGCTACATGATCAAAATTTGGGCACTTGACAAATGGCATGTATTTACAGTGGTTGCAGCATCCTGGGAGTGACATGATTATTATTTGCGATCTTCCAAGGGAGACTCCAAACAAACAAAGATATGGCGGGAGCCAAGAGGTAGGCCGCTCTCGGGGAACTAGGACTCGCTGTCTCAAAGCGATTACTTGTTCCAGCCCCTCTGGTTTTGGTTCATCGGATTCACCTTGTATACCTGGTGACTTGGGATATCAGGGCCCTGGCTTCAGGCTGCTGCTGTTTAATGCCAGGTCTGTTGTTAACAAGGCTCCCCTCGTTCGGGACCCATGCCCCTCCTAGCTGGTTTCGGCCAGCAGGGTGGTGACACGAGGCTGGCTCCAGGCTTTAGTTAACGCGTCCTTGAGGGAGGGGTCCTTCCCACAACCATTAAAGGAGGCGGTTGTAAGGCCCCTCCTCAAGAAGCCTTCCCTGGATCCAGCAGAATTAAAGAACTTTCGGCCAGTCTCCAGCCTACCCTTCGTGGGAAAGGTTGTAGAGAAAGTGGTGGCACTTCAGCTCCTGGAGTCATTGGATGAAACGGATTATCTAGACACTTTTCAGTCTGGCTTCAGGCCTGGCTACAGCACGGAAACTACCTTGGTCACACTGATGGATGATCTCTGGTGAGCCCAAGATGGGGGTCATTCCTCTATCTTGGTGCTACTTGATCTCTCAGCAGCTTTTGATACCATTGACCATGGTATCCTTCTGGGACGACTAAGGGAGTTGGGAGTGGGAGGCACCGTGTTACGGTGGTTCTCCTCCTATCTCTCTGGTCGGTCACAGTCGGTGTTGGTAGGAGGACAGAGATCGACCCCTAGGCCCCTCATTTGCGGGGTGCCTCAGGGCTCGGTCTTCTCTCCCCTCCTATTTAACATCTACATGAAACCGTGGGTGAAATCATCCGACGATACGGGGTGGGATATCAGCAATATGCTGATGATACCCAGCTGTATATCTCCACCCCGCGTCAGTTCAGTGATGCAGTGGATGTGATGTGCCGGTGCCTGGAGGCTGTGAGGGTCTGGATGGGAGTCAACAGGCTCAGACTTAACCCAGACAAGACCGAATGGCTGTGGGTATTGCCTCCTATAGACTATGTCCATTGTCCATCTCTGGTCCTGGGGGGGGGGGAAGAAATTGTCCCCCTCAGAGCGGGCTCGCAATCTGGGTGTCCTTCTAGACTCACAGCTAAGATTAGAGCAATGTCTGACAGCTGTGGCTAGGGGGACTTTTGCACAGGTTTGCCTGGTGCACCAACTGCAACCCTACTTAGATCAGGAGGCTCTCCTCACAGTCACTCATGCCCTTGTCACCTCACAGTTGGATTATTGCAACGCGCTCTACATGGGGCTACCCTTGAAAAGTGTTCGGAGACTACAGTTGGTCCAGAATGCAGCCGCACGAGCTATTGTGGGTGCACCTAGATACACCCGCATTACACCAATTCTCTGCGAGCTGCACTGGCTCCCTATCAGTCTCCAGACACAATTCAAGGTGTTGGTTATTACCTTTAAAGTCCTACATGGCTTAGGGCCAGGCTATCTTCAAGACCGCCTTCTACTGCATAGCTCCCAACGACCTGTAAGATCCCACAGAGTTGGTCTCCTCCAGGTCCTGTCAGCTAAACAATGTCGGCTGGCGGGCCCGTGGGGGAGGGCCTTCTCTGTGGCTGCCCTGGTTCTCTGGAACCAATTACCTCCTGAGGTCCGGACCGTCCCCACCCTGTTGGCCTTCTGGAAAGTGGTGAAGACCTGGCTTTTCCAGCAAGCCTGGGGCCATTGATCTCGCTGCTGCAATCTTGTGACACCTGGCCATGAATGGAGTGTATGGGTTTTTAATGTTTTTTTTAAAACAACTTTTATGGTATATTGTTCACATTATTTTTTGTTGTAAGCCACCCAGAGTCCCCAGGGAGTTGGGCGGCATAGAAATGCAACAGACAAACAAACAAACAAACAAATAAATAAATAAAGTTAAAGGAGGAAGTCAGATTCACTTAACGACCGGGATAAAAAAGCTCATAAATTAGACACAACTTATTTAATAACTACACCACTTATTGATGGAGTTCCAGTCTCAATTGCGGTCGTAAATCAAGGGCTACCTGTAGTAAGTGGTGTGCTCTTGCACTGAGGTAAGTAAGAAGTATGTGTGTATGCGTGCGTGTGCATGTATGTGTGTGTGTGTGTGTATGCATGTGTGTGTATGTATATGTATATTCAAAGGGGATGCGGTGGCTCAGTGGCTAAGATGCTGAGCATGTTAATCAAACAGATTGGCAGTCGGCGGTTCGAATCCCTAGTGCTGCATAATGGGGTGAGCTCCCGTTACTTGCCCCAACTTCTGCCAGCCTAGCAGTTTGGAAGCATGTAAAAATGCAAGTAGAAAAAATAGGGACCACCTTTGGTGGGAAGATAACAGTGTTCCATGCGCCTTCGGTGTTTAGTCATGCCAGCCACATGACCACGGAATTGTCATCAGACAGCGCTGGCTCTTCGGCTTAGAAATGGAGATGAGCACTGGCCCCTAGAGTCGGGAACGACTAGCACGTATGTGCGAGGGGAACCTTTACCTTTTTATATGTATATTCATATATATCACATGTGTATACACACATATGCTTTTGAGAATGGCATCAAAATTTCATTTTTTAATGTGTGTCAGTGTTTTCACACAAAAAAGTGACAATAAAGGTTATCTTCTTACTTATCTTAAAATCATAGTGCTATATAAGGAATATCTTTAAAAATTTCCAAAGTGACCAAAATTTATTCTTAGTGCAGTTCTACCTAATCTCTTTTTAAATGGATATTTTTGAAGGCCAAACAATTCAGTGCTCAGAAAACAGATACCAGTTTTATCACTTTCTTTCATACCCAAATAAACACTTTTAGCAAGGCAGCAAGAATATAGATGAGAGTATTCCATAAGGTTGCAATCCTAGATCCATTTATAGGAAATGAGCCCCTATAATAGCATAGGAATTCTAGTAAATATATATTGTAATTTTTCAATTTTCAATAGAAAATATTGACACTTATTAATCAAGTGTCTTCAACATTAGGTGTTACAGTTGTCAGAAAATTGTTGATTTCTGTAACAATGTTATTATGACAAGTTAAGCAGATGACAAACTAAGAACTGTGAAAGAAACTCAAATGAACTACTTGCCACCACAAAGTAAACTACAGTATCTCTTGGAGAGCCATGTTTTATATCATCACAATTAAATTATCTTTAAGAAGATAGATAACTGTATTAATTCTAGCCTAAGCCTCTATCTAAACATTTCATTTAAAAAAAAAACACCTTGTTTTTCTTGTTTTGTTTATTTACTTCATCTTTATTATTTTGAAATAACTCACGGCAGGAAACATATCTAATGCTCCTTCCTCCTCCTATTTTCCCCACAACAACTGTGTAAGGTGATTGGGCTGAGTGCGTGTGACTGGCCCAAAGTCACAGGACTAGAACTCAGAGTCTCCTGGTGTCTATCTGAAGGAAGATATTTGGGGGCAAGTTATATGGTCTGTTGTTGATCTCAGCTATTGGTGATTGCTGGCTGAAAATGAAATAGAAACATATTCAACTCCATGTTAGAGAAAGACTTTTTAATCTAAGCGCCAATTCCAGTGAGGAAAAACAATAGGAATCTCAATTAGGAATGTGCAAAATCCACCATTCCATGAAGAGTACATACTTGTATTTTTTCAGAAACTTTTGTTGTGCAGATTCCAGGCATTCCTAGGGTGGTTCAGTAGCCTTCCAGAAATAGAACTGGAGGTGGTTCACAATATTCTGGATATATGCAGAATTTTACATTACTATCCTCTCAAAAAATGTGGCTGTTGGAAATTTTGGATGGGATGGAAAGGAACAAGAGGTAATCATGATTCCAGGAATGGAAAATCTACACCAGCCTTCCTCATTCTGATGGTTTTCCATCTTGGGGTATGACGACAGTTGTAATCTAGCTAATCTGGAAAATGTCAAGTTCCCCTTAGCAAAAAATTTGGATGAACCACTCAGCCAGAGGCTCTCAGACACACAATATTATAAGGTTATATAAGAATTGGACTGTACACTAGGATGAAGCCATATAAAGCAGATAAATACCATCTGCCATGGGGGATAAATGCAAATTCTCTCTTATTATCCCTAATCCTGGAAGTTCAAATCTGTTATCTATTTCTCTCCCTGTATAATTGACATCTCTTTCCTAGAAAGCATAGACTCCTAGCTTGACTCTCAGATGGTTGGAAAGATAAATGAGAAAAAGTTCTCCAAAACATCTCCCTGCTTCAGTTAAATAGGATATATCATTTTAGAATTCTGTCACTTTTGTTTCTGTTGAATGCAACAAACATTATGACCACAGAGAGGACAGAAATATTAGTTCAATTGCTAAAGTGCCATGGCCAGTTTCTTCAGACCTCCTTAGTGAACCATTACAACTCTCCACAATTGAATCAATGCAAATTATACGCACCGCATCCCAAACCACAGCAGCTACACCCAACTGCGTCCAATTCTGCTTAATGTGGATTGTATGGTTGGCAAAACAGAATGTAGAGGAAGATTTATGTAACTTCTGCATTCCCCAAAGAGCTGTGCTGTCATAAGGAACCAAAGCCATGTCTTTGCCTATCAAACCAAGGAAAGATACAGAATTGAAAAACCTCCCATGTGAAACCCATTCACAAGGATAAAGTTTTATTCTTTCCACTTCTACTCAATTTTAGTTCAGATTCATTCCATTAAGTAGACAATAAAAATACGTAGACTGAAAACTGAGCTCCCAATTGTTCTCTAGTGATGAAAACAAGGCTAAATAAAAATATATACAGTAAAGTTATTAATTTATGGCAATTGCCCAAATATGCTTATAGATATGCACTCTCATATTGTTCAGCTAATTTTCATATTCCAAAGAATGTAAAATTTATTAATCTAATCATGCAAACAAAACATGAACATTAAATCATTAAAGATACACACAAATTTGGACCCTACATGGTGCTGCCCTTAAAAAGCATTCAGAAGCTAAAGTCATCGAGAATTCAGCAGCTCCAGCAGTTATGGGCATGCCCATTTAATGGCAACAGTGCAAGTATGCTAACTAATTATCAATTCGTTTCTGGGCACAATTCAAGTTGCAGTTGACATCTTAAAGCCTTTCATGACTTGAAACATGGATATCTAGGAGACCTCCTGTTCCCAGCAGGTTCCCTCTCTTAAAGAATGTTGTACTGTAGATTTCCAAGAGTTGGGTCTTCTTGAGAAGTTGCTGCCCACATCTCTACAGCAGCATTCCCCTGAAGATTCAACATACCCTGGCATAATTGAGATTTAGGAAACCATTAAACCTAGTTATTTTAACAGTGCTCTGAAGGGTTCATTACTTGAGAGGGATTTTCCTGTGTAAAAACCCACAACTCTATGGAGATATGATTTATTTTAACATTCTTCATGCACGGTAGGATTGTTAGCCACTCGAGACTCAGTTGATGGCTGGAGTGGCATATAAGCCTCATAAAATAAATACATATGAAAAAATATAAAGAAAATGGGAACCATTTCACAGTTACTCCAATTATGGAATCCTTGAGGCTCTCTGAGCTTGGTTGTTTGCTTGCGGACGTTTTGCTACCATTAGCATTAGAAGGAAGTGAGGTTTGCTCTCTTTATATATACAGTAGCTTGCCTTGTCAGACGTGTTGTTTTCTCATTTCTTTTTATTTTACAAAAAAGAAAGATACATGAAACCATCAATAACACTTTCAAAGGAATGATTTAATAAAGAAAGAAGAAAACAACAAAATATCAGAATGCAACTAGCATGAGTAAAAAAATCACAGCTAGCAAACTGCCCAGAGTCAGAGAAAGTGCTCCTAATTCCTATTGCCAGCAAATTTCCAGGAATACTCAAACAAACATTGCATACCTGATCCTTCAAAGGGTGGATGACTCTGTCCTAAACTCTGCCAAATAGGGATATAGCTAAACCTTGAGCTGCAGAGCTACATTCCAGCCTCCTTTCTGCCATCCATTCCACAACGGGTGTTGGCTTAGAATCCCACTTCTTTCCTAGAATAATAAGATGGAAAGAAAAAAGAAAACATGTATGGCTCATCCAGCATTCCCATTTAAGTAGCACATAGGACAGAAAGCAAGGGGAAATCTTGAGGCATCTATAAGTAATCTACAGCTATGTCCTCAATGACACCTGGACCAAAAATTAATGTTCTGGGTAAACCTAGCCCGTGTGGCTACTTTTATGTTTTGATATATCTAAGGAACATAGAGCATTTGAAAAATTGAGTTAGGTATGGCTTGATTAACAATAGGCAAAGGTGTCATGCAATTACCAGCTATCAATTGTACTCACTGTTTTTGATCTGCAAGAAAAGATGCAGCCAACTTTCCTTATTAGTCATATTCCAATAACAGAAGAAGATGCAACTAGTAAAATTCTTCCTAACTTTAAAGATATAGTCCTGCTTATTGAGATATGTTTTTCATCATTCAATCAATTTTAACTGCTATAGTTATTAACCCAAAAGGGATAAAATGCATATTAAGGATTCAGTAATACAGAAGAACCAGAATATAGGTAGTCCTCAACTTACGACAATTGAGCCCCAAATTTTTGTCATTAAGTGGAACATTTAAGTGAATTTTGCCCCATTTTACAACCTTGCTTGCCAAAGTTGTTAAGTGAATCACTACAGTTGGTAAGTTGGTAACATGGTTAAGTGAATCTGGCTTCCCCATTGATTTTACTTGTCAAAAGGTGATGACATGACATTGGGAAACAGTAACGGTCATAAGTATGAACCAGTTGCCCAGCATCTGAATGTTGATCACATGATCATGGGGATTCTACAAAGGTCGTAAGTGTGAAAAATGGCCATGCCTCTTTTTTCCGTGTTGTTGTAACTTTGAGTGGTCATTAAGTGAAATGTTGTAAGTTGAGGACTACCTGTATGTTTAACTTTATGAATCCTCCTTACAAACAAATCAGAGGCAGTTAACCTGTCTGGGATCCTAGTCCTAGAACCAGAACATAAATTCTTAGGACATGCAGTTAGTAAGATTGAACCAGATTCTTAATAAGATTTGTACTCCAAAAGAAGAACCTCCTGAAGTTTTGCACATACTCAAATGTATACATTTTAAGAATTGTATTATGCCTTTGAAAACAATGTGTCAGTGCTCTATCATGAGAGCACTCAAAAGTGCGACATTTTTAAAAACTAAAACAATATTTAAAATACAATGCACATTAACAACAAAAGCTCTGAAAATGTTAACAGGTAAAGCCCATAGTAGCATAAAAATGTAAAAAGTCAATATACTACTGTAAGAAGCTCTCCACCCCCCCAAAGAGAATGAAATATACAGCATCTCAGAACCCTATAAAAATGCATGTACTCATCAAACCAATTTGTCCCAGAATTGTTCTGCTCATCATTAAACAGCTTCTTTCCAATCAGCCTCCATTTTATTTCCAGAGCTTTTGGCTTGAAACCGGACCGGATTGTTTTTTCAACACTACCATATGCAAAGGACTTGAAGACTAAAACTTACCTGTTTTGCACTGAAAGTATAATAAAGTAAGCTTGCCTGGTGCGCTCTGGAAAGAGAAAGCGTCATGGACGGCTAAGTCCTAAAATACAAAAGAGCAGAGGTGGCTAAGCGGAGTCAAGACACCTTTAGACTTCTGCAGTAAATCGCTGCTAAATTTGTTTTGTTTGGCTTGGTGCGTTGCATTAATCCCTAATGTAGTTTGCAAATTATGCATTATGACCTGGTATTGAAAATCCCCTAATTGTGGTTTAACGCAAGACACCGTGGTTTGGTGTAACACGTGCCTACCATAGCTATCAGCCAAGAAATCGCGCAGGCTTGCAACGCTAAATTGATTTCCCTTTTTCTTGTTGCTTCCCTACAAAGTTCTCCTCTCCCTTCTCCACCCATCCCCCCATCCTTGGATGCTGCTAACCCTGACAGAGGCAAACCCAACCCTCCCCCCCCCCCCGCCCCCAGCCTTCCCCATCCCTTCCTCACGCAACGCTGGCTCTACGAAGGTCCTCCACTCGTCCCGGGCACGTGAGCACTGAAGCTCCACAGAGAAGCTAGGCAAGGGGAGGACGGCTATAGAGATAGGAAGAGAGAGAGAAAGGAAGGAACGCGTCGCTAGCATGTCCCATCAAAATATGAAGAAACCCAGACAGCGTTATGGACACAGGATGCTGCAGCTATACAACCAGACCTAAGATTTAGAGGATATAACTTGTTTCGGAAGATGGAAAAATAATTCAATGGATCAATAGTCAAATGGTATTTCTACTTTGTTTCTATCTCTATGAACACATCCTCCTCTACTGTATTAGCATTGCAGGGACAATATCTACCGCTGGTCGGCGTACTGTGGCGTCTGTCGGAGCATCTGCAGCCGCTTCATTCGGTTTGCGTTGAGAAAAAACGTACCATTCACCCTTAATATAGACGTTTGACCTTCCGTCTATAAATATTGGGTAGGAATAAACTCCATTTCGCTAAGCTTGATTTTTGAGTAACCATGATTTTTTTTCCCTTTCGTTTATTCGTGTTCGATTCTCGGAGACGATTCTAGATAAGCCCCTGCAATTTTCTTGGCAAGGTTTTTCGGACATGATTGCCATTGCCTCCTTCCCAGGACTGAGTGAGGCCAAGATCACACAGCTACCATTGTGCCCAAGGCAGGAGTCTAGAACTCACAATCCTCCAGTTTCTAGCCTACAGAAACTGGCTCCCAAACTATGGTTAGGATTCCATAAATTCTATAATATATAGCCCAAGGGCAGAACAAGAAACAATGCATGGAAATTAATCAAGGAGAGAATCAACCTAGAAATAAGGAGAAATTTCCTGACAACTAAAAGGATTAATCAGTGGAATAGCTTGCCTTCAGAAGTTGTAGGTCTTCCATCACTTTTTAAGAAGAGACTGGACAATCATTTGTCTGAAATAGCTTGGTTTGGAAGATCTCCAAGGTCCCTTCCAACTCTTGTTATTCTCTTATTCTGTTATATTAAATTCAAACTAAATGATGAGTGGGCAAGTATCCATTGAACTCATGATACTTTTTGTTGTGGACATTTGCATCCAAGGATGCCAGATTCCCCTTCCCAATTTTTGATTTTATAATCTTTATTTATTTATTTATTTGTTTGTTTATTTATTTATTTATTATGCCGCCCTTCTCCCGAAGGACTCAGGGCGGTGAACAGTTAAAATAACATACATATAAAATGTAAATATAAGATGATTAAGCCAATTTGGTTCATCGGTTAAGAATCTTCAGCATAAAGATTTAGAACAATTAGAAGAGATTTATGCCAGCCCGGCTTGGTGAAATAGAAAGGTCTTAAGTGCACGATGGAAAGTATGAAGATCTGGGATCATTTGTATTTGATGTTTTTACTTTGCTGTTCACCGCCCTGAGTCCTCAGGGAGAAGGGCGGTATACAAATTCAAAATAAAATAAAATAAAATAAATAAATTTGTATCCCTGGGGGTAACCTGTTCCAAAGGGTAGGTGCCCCCACAGAAAAAGCTCTTTCTCTGGGAACCACCAGTCGACATTGCTTTAGTGACGGCACCCTGAAGAGGCCCACCCTGTGGGAGTGTGTTGGTTGGTGGGAGGTTATTGGTTGCAGAAGGTGGTCTCGTAGGTACCCAGGTCCTAAGCCATGGAGCACTTTAAAGGTAAGAACCAACACCTTGAAGCGCACTCGGAAGACCACTGGGAGCCAGTGCAGCTCGCATAGGAGAGGTGTTATATGTGAGCGCCATGTCGCTCCCAATATCACCCGCGCAGCTGCATTCTGGACCAGTTGGAGCTTCCGCGTGCACCTCAAGGGGAGCCCCATGTAGAGAGCATTACAGTAGTCCAGAATCTTCTCCAGAGATTCAGGGCGGCTTACAATGTGTTAAGCAATAGCCTTCATACTTTTGTATATTTATACAAAGTCAGCTTATTGCCCCCACAATCTGGGTCCTCATTTTACCTACTTTTGAAAGGATGGAAGGCTGAGTCAACCTTGAGCTTGGTGAGATTCTGCTGTCTTTATGTACCAAGTAGAATATCCTGCCCAGCTAATGAAGAATATTGGAATATCAAGCAAAGCACAAACATGATTTTTTTTTACCAGCCATTTTTCTCTTAACTTCTAGAATGATCAGAAACGTGTTTCTTCACCATCATAAAGTTTACTACATTCGTTACATTCTGCTAAACTATAAACTGGCTACATCTGTCCAAGAAACCAAAGAATAAACCATGGTTTATAAAATATATAGAGCAAGTATACCGTTTACCCCAAAATAAGACATCCCGATAATAAGCCGAATTGGGCTTTTGAGCGCATGGCAATAAGATCAAACGCTTATTTCAGGGTTCAAAAAAATATAAGACAGGGTCTTATTTTGGGGGAACACTGTAATATGTCACATTTTTAGAGAAAAGTATTACCAGTATGTAGAGAGAGAGTCATGGAGATGCTAATATTATTTTCTGATGAGGTTCATGTTCATGTTTCCCATTAGTGGAAGAATCCAATTTCCATTATCACTGCTGAGCTTGCATCACAGTTCTGGCACATCTCTGCCCACCAGTCTATGATGCTAAAAAAATAACCATTAAGGAATGAATGTGTTCACCACATAATAATGGTGAACTGTGGTCTAAATGAATCAGAATGAAGAGGGCTTTACTTTTTTTAGGTCAGCAAAGTGGAAGTAAATGAAACATTTATTCATCAAGAGTGAAAACATTTTGCACACTTGTTTCATTTTTAAAAATACCATCCTTGCAAGAGCAGTTTGGTCAATGTAGTGTTATCACTATCTTTTAGATATGAAGTTGTAGCCAGAAACTGGGAAGGAGCAGTCTGCCATACAGAAAAATAATGTAAAATTGAGTACTCTAAAATGTTAACTTGCATCTATTTTTAAAAAAGCTATTGTAACTTTTAAATCCAAGATTTTGTTTTTAACACTTTCGTTTCTTCAGTCCTCTCAACATTCTCATCCTTTCTCTCAGTGTCTCCTTGGATAACACTTGATTTCTAATTTCTGCTTTTCCAAGCACCATATACATTTTGAACTGAAGCTTACTGTCAACCCATCAGGAAGAATGCAATTTGCATGATCACTGCTGAACTTGCCTTACAGTTCTGGCACTTTTCTGCCCACTAAGAAGTGATCAAGTGCTTTGGTGTAGCAACTGACAGTTCCGTGATTAAATTTGCAGGAGGGAGAATGTACACCAACCCAAGTTCTTAGATCCTAACTAGCTTTTAACAGAGCAAGCAATACAGGTTTTTAAGACCAAACTGACCATATTTATTGATATACAAACTTTCTCAAATTACTTTTAAATACATTTTTTTTTGAAAAACAAGTCAAATCGATCATTTAGTAAGGTAGAATCAATTAACTTTGGAACATGCAAAGATTGTCTTAGATTTTTTTGGGAGATGCTTAATCAGAGAAAACTTTGCCAAATGTTTTGGAAATAGAAGCCTACCAGCAGCTGGATTATGGATCTTTTTTAGTATATCCACTTTGAGAGTTTATACCAATATCTTATCCCAATATTTATTTTGTAGTACCTATTTAATTCTTATTTGGTCTAATTACATTGCTTCTATTCAAAGTACTATTCTAAACAGGTTTTCCAGCATTTTCACTGGATACAGTAGCATTCGTTTCTCTGTATTTACTGTTCATTTTGAAACATTTTATTAAATTATAGAATAAAATAAAAAAGCAAATAGTAAGACACAGTGGGGAGGAAAAGGGGAAAGAAAAGTGAGGAGTGGAAGAAAAAAAAAAGTGTTGACTTCCGATTCTCTGTTGCAGTAGAATAAAGCATTAATATCGAACCTCAACTTTTTACTTTTCCATAATATAAACTAGCCATTTCTATAACAACAAATCAATCTAATTAGTAAAACCCAAAATCAAAGTTTCATTTTTTTCCATCTCAAGCACAAAGTCCAGAAGCAGTTTCCATGTAGCAACAAAAGTACTTATTTTCTTTGATTAAAACGGTCAATTTAACCATCTCTGCCAACTCCATCAACTTCTGTAGCCTCATCTTCATCCATGGGGGGAACTGAAATGTCCTTCCATTTTTGTGCATACAATAGTCTTGCTGCAGTCAACATATATAAATCAAAGCTCCAAAAAATTTTTCTAAGTCTTTTTTCATTAAACCCAAAAGTAAAGTTTCTGGTTTCATCTTTAAGAATTTTCTGTATTAAAATATGAATCTTAGTCCAAAATTTCTTTGCTTTATCTCATGTGTCTGTATTTTATATAACTGCCAGTGTTATATACCATAATTATTTCTAATTTGGATTGTTATGATGCTGGGTACACAATATCTAGATCAAGCAGGTGGCAGCCTACCAATTGTATGTACTCTGCTCAAAAAAATAAAGGGAACACAAGCAGAAGACATCTGAGATCTGAATGAATGAAATAGCCTTATTAAATACTTTGTTCGTTACATACAGTAGTTTTGTGTTCCCTTTAGTTGTTTGAGCAGTGTATAAACTACTGTATGTAAAGAACACAGTATTTAATAAGGCTATTTCATTCATTCAGATCTCGGATGTCTTCTGCTTGTGTTCCCTTTATTTTTTTGAGCAGTATATTTGCATGTTGTGCCTTTTGAGTCCAATGTTAACTCCTGGTAACTGCACAGACAAGTTCTTGCAGTTTTCTTGGCCAGGATTTTCAAACCTGGTTTGTCATTGCCTCCTTCTTAGGGCTGAGAGAAAGTGGCTGGGCGAAGGTCACCCAGTTGGCTTCATGCCTAAGGGGAGATTAGAACTCACCATCTCCCAGTTCCTAGCAGGATTCTTAAAAACTATTCAAATACTAGGAACCTTCATTATTATACTGGGCAAAGGGATCAATCACCATACTTCCCTTCCCCGCCTGTAACATTTTTGTACAAAAGAATC